TTACAGCATTTAAAGGTTGTACATTTTTACCATTTTTTTTTTTTTTTTTTTTTTTTTTTTTCGTTTTTTTTTTTTTTTTTTTTTTTGAAAAAAAATATTTTCCTTTTTTGCTTTATTTTCATTAACATCAATGGTTTCTATTATTATTATTATTTTTTTTTTTTGTTCTTTGTTCAAATAAAATAAACAAGAATACTTTACAGAATTTTATGTGTGTGTTTCTTGAAAACTTTCCTATTTTCTGCCTTTCAAATAAAATCATTTCATATTTTTTTCAGGTTTCATTCAATCAGAAAAAAAAATATTTAATGTTTTGCGATTTTTGAATAGAATTGAAAAAAAAAAATTTTGTTTAAAGAATATCAAAAAGTGTGAAAAAAATAACAAAATAACAGACATGACATGATTTTTTTAAAAGAAAACTTGTCAATTGAAAAAAAAAATATTTCAATGCGCAATTTTCAACAATTTTTTTGTTTTGTTCTTCGTTATACAAAAATTCATTTCAATTCTGTCAGTTTCATCATATATGCCGGGGTCAAGGAAGAAATTTTTTTTTCTTCTGAATTTTGATTTTTTTTTTCTTGGAAAAATTTTCCCGGATATTGTTTTCTAGAAAATTTCTATTATTTTTTCCCTTTTCAGATTGAAATATTTAACATTAATATTTTTCTTCTTTCACTTTTACTTTCTATAGATAAACTTATTAAATTTTTCTCTCTTCATAATACGCCCATTTCAATTTGTCATTGTTGTTGTTGTTGTTGGCATTGATGATGGAAAATCATCATCATTTTTTTTGTTTTTGTTACATAAGTTTTTAGTCAATCTTGGCATACTTGCACTCTCATTCACTTTATCATATTAGACTATTTTATATTGTTTTTGTTTTTTTTAACAGGCATAAATAAGATTGAAATGACATAATTTGCAACTACACTTTCTGCTGTTGTTGACAACATGTTTCATCGAATTATTTTATGATATACAAACACACACACACACAAGGTTTTCGCTTTCGATTTTTTGTTTTAGATTTCATTTTTCATGATGAAAAAGTAGAAGAATCTTCAGAATCAAGAAACAACAACAACAACAACGGACAAATAGTGTCATGTTGTGAATATCATTATTATTATAACGATATTAGTAAAAACAACAACAAAACGATAATCGGGTAAACGAAAGATAAACAAAAAGTAAAAGTAAAAGATTTGAAAAAGACACACACACACACACACACACACTGAATTATGCCAATAAAAAAGAAAAAAGGATGAGAAAGACATATAGAATTGTAAACATCATCATATTCATCCATCTAGATAGATAGATAGATATACTTGAAAAGATGATGATGATGTTGTCAAAAACAATAACCAAACATCACAAGTTTATCTAGTTTGTTGTTTGTTTTTTTTCCTTGGTCAAGTACAAAAAAGATGCGTTAAACAAAAGAAAAAAAAATATGCCAGAATAAATCTTATGAATGAAACGGAAACATTATCGAGAACAAAAAAAATAGTAACAACAACAACAACAACAGCAAACATTTTGTATCCAATAAGGTTTCGAAGAAATTTTTTACCCAAAAAAATCCAGTTAGGAATTGATGTTTGTTTGGCAGTATTTTTCGGATTTATTTTGCTCGAAAATGACATCCAAAAAAAAAAATTTGCTATTTTTAGCCAAATGTTTCAGGGTTTTTTTTTTGGTTTTCTGGTCACCACCAAAAAACAGAAATAAATTAAACATCCTAGACTTAATTAATGATTCATTATGATGATAATGATGATCCACAAATAAAATGAAATGATAAATTTTCTTCTATTTTGACTATGGTTTCTGTCATATTTCAGTGATGATTTTTCCCTATAGTAGTAGAGACTAACCAGCCATACATACACCCACGCAAAAATATAAATATCAATTATAACTATGATAAAAACAAAAATTTGAATTAGTGTCATATGCAATGATGATGAATGTTCCATTATCATCAACAACAACAAACAAACAAACTCTTTATTACCGTATTGAATTAATCGATTATGATGATGATGATGATGATCGATATACAATCGATATTGACATTGATTTATTGAATTTTTTGCTGTTTTTTTATTGATTCTTTTTGTTCTTTGGCCAAATACTGAAATTACTGAAGATTTTATCTTGATGTTTTTTTTCAGTAAAAAAAGTTTTCCGTTTTTTTTGTTGTTGTTGTTTTGGCTGTAAAACAAAAATTATTATTTTAATTTTACGGAAGTTGGCCAAAATCGTGAACAACAACAACAACAAATACTACAAGAACATCATCATCATAATCATAATTTTTTTTACAATTTTCAATCAATCAATCAAACATCGATCATCAAATATTCAATATATACAATGATTATCATAATCAAAGTAATAGAAATTGATGTGAATGAAAAATTCATTTTTTTTCTTTACATTTCGGGGACCTGTATAATTATATTATATAAAAAACATGGGCCCATGAAATTGATTTAATTTCATTAAGGATAAGTGAGAAATTTTCCCATAAATTTCATTGTGTGTGATAGAGAAATGAAAGTTTCTTTTCGTTTAACCTTTTTTTTCACAACATTATGATTGTATAATTCAAATTCATAGATTGGTCGTGAAACAGATTGATTACAGCAATATTTTTCTCTCATTCATATTCACTCACTCATTCACTATTATCCTTTTTTTTAAAAAAAAAACTTTCACACATTTCCAGGTTTGTTTGGCCATCAAAAGTTATATAGAAAAAAAATCATGAAAAATAAACACATATTAGGAAACATTTAACATTGGATGTTCGTTTTTTTTTGTTGGTGTCGCGTGGTGTTTTACGACGTTGATATTGATTTCTATTTTGTTCGTTTATTGTTGTTTGTTAAATTATATCCGGTTATCATTGAATAGTTAAATGATTTTTTTTCCTTGATAATTTCTTTTCCGGCAAATGAAAAGTCTGAATTTTTTTTTTGGCATTGAATTTTCTTTTTCACTTCTCTCTTTCTCTCCCCTGATATAGATGATGATGGTAAATTATTTCATCATTTTTATCAAGAAATTTCCCCCCCCTTCCAAAAAAAAAACAAATGAGATTTTTAATCAAAAAAAAAAAAAAAAATCCTGGAATGGATCAATAGAAAAAAAAAAACAAAAGGTTCAAAGTTACAAAGTCAGTCACGGTTAACAGAACGGATGATNTTTTTTTTTTGGCATTGAATTTTCTTTTTCACTTCTCTCTTTCTCTCCCCTGATATAGATGATGATGGTAAATTATTTCATCATTTTTATCAAGAAATTTCCCCCCCCTTCCAAAAAAAAAACAAATGAGATTTTTAAAAAAAAAAAAAAAAAAAAAAATCCTGGAATGGATCAATAGAAAAAAGAAAACTAAAGGTTCAAAGTTACAAAGTCAGTCACGGTTAACAGAACGGATGATGATAATAATATGATGTGATACGGTGTAATTGATCGCCAATCGATTTTTAAATAAAAAAATCTTTTCGTTTTCATTTTCAATTCAATGAAAACGAAAACGTAGTAAAAAGGAAAAAAAATTAGCAACGATGTAATATGATGAGCCATGTTTTTCTTTCTTTTTTTTTCATTTATTTGAGATTGACGGTCATCTGGCCATTGACATTTGAAACGTTTTTTATCTCTCCATATAATTATTATTATTATTATGTTTCATATATATGCAAACAACATATAAATATATTCCATATATCCAAGTAATATGATTTTTCTTTTAATGACTTCCTGATTTTTTTTTCTTTTTCTGATTTTATAACCATTGAGCCCGTAAGTTAGTGACGATCAACAACAACAAAAAAAAAATCGATGATAATGAAGGACAAAATTACAAATAAATAAAAATTCAAGTCCAAAGTAAAAAAAAAATTTGATAAAATCTTTGATTAAAAATATAAAAAAATTGTTTGTTTTTGTTTTTTGTTTGACAAATATATCGTATCACGGTCAGCATCATCATTGGTATCTGATCTGATTTAATGGAAATCATTAAATCCATTGATCTAGTGATGATCATTGTATATTGGATGGATGGCCCAATTTTCATCATTCATTCATTCATAATCAATGAATGAATGATGATTTTATAAATATGGACCTTTAGGGGCCAAAAATTCAATTTTTCAAATTAAATTTTTATAAATGATATTTTTATATCCGAAATTTTTCTACTTTTTTTTCTTTTTTACCGTGTTTGTTTGTTTGTTTGTTTTCACTGACAACGATGACATTCATCCTTGATTGACATTGATATTATATTTTTTTCGTTTCTTCTCTGTTTATCCTTTTTTTTGTTTTCTTATTTTCTTATCGAATGTCATCATCATCAACAAAATGATGTCAACGAATAAAGATTGATTTTTCTTTCCTATTTCTTCATTCTAAAATATTCTTTTATTTTAGGTTTTTTTCATTTACTTTTCTTTTCATTGGAAATTTTTTTTTTCATTCGTAAAAAATTTTCATTTGTTTGTTTACCAACGTTTAGGTTTGATTATTCATTTACTGAAAAAACAAATTTTCCAAATAAATATTCAAATTTTCATGCATATATGCTTCTTGGTTCAGCAATGAGAATGATTTTTATTTTTTGTTGAAAAAAATAAAATTTAGAAAAAAAAAACGATAAATAAACATAAATTTAAATGACAAAAAAAAAATCAAATTGCGTATATGGAATCAAATGATACAAATTCGGTGGGGAAAAACTAACCAGGTTAAGCTTTCTTTTTTAAAAAAAAACGAACCAGATTTTTTCCCCCTTCAAATCCAATTGGGACAGAATGATTGAAAAATTGTAAAAATTTCAAAAAAGTTGGAAAAAATCTGAATTTGAAATGAAATTCCAGAATTTTCTTTTGTTCAACGAAAAAAAATCCATCAGATAATGATTTCCTGCATTTCTTTTTGTTGTTGCTTCTTTTTGTCCATTGTTTTGTATAATGGATTATTGAAAATTATTCAAAAAAAAATTTTCTCATTGTCAAATGAGAAAAAGCAAAAAAAAAACTACAAATGAATAATTCTTCAATCAATCGATTCTATGACAATCGACAATCATATCGATTTTGATAATAATCATCATCATTGTATTTCTATCGATGTTTTCTTCTTCCTTTGTTTTTCCTTCGAATTAATCGATTATGACCATCAAAAAAACAGACAAAACAAAACAGAAAAATGAATTTTGTTGTTGTTGTTGATGGTGTTGCCATTGTTGTTCTTATGAATGTTAATGATGATCATCATTTGAAAAATTATTTTATTGTTCATCAAGCCTTTTGATGTCCTTATTATTGTACAAGATGTCTTTTCTGTTTGTTTTGTTATTTTGTACATCGATTAAATTACATTGAAAACAAAACAAAAAACAAAACAAAATTGCTTGTTTTGATTAATAAATGATGATTATTATTATTTGTTGTTGTCGTCGTTAAATATTCGTAGAAATGCAAACAAATAAGAAAAAATTTTCCATAAATTTCAATGTTGAGTTTATGGAAAATTGAAATTTTTTTCTTTTTCAATTTTAAATTACTCATGGGATTATTTTGGAATATTTCTGGATAGAATGGAATTTGATTTCTTCTTTTGGATGTTGTTTATTGATCATCATCATCATCATCATCATCATCATCAATAAATGATTGCTTGATACTTTTTCGATGATGATGATGATGTAAATAAATACATTTTTAAAGTGAAAAAGAAAACAAACAAACGAACGAATATACCGGATATTTTGTCATTCAAATTACTTTTTTTTAAAATCAAATCAATTGAATTCAATGTCATTGAACATGTACTTTATTGATTGATTATTTGTTGTTGTTGTTTCTCATTAAATATCAACAACAACAACAATCGATTGAATTCAGATTTTAGATTAATTTGAATGGATTATCAACAACAACAAAATGGGAAATTTTCTTTTCCAATTATCATTATGATGATGATGATGATGATGACATAAACAACATCAGCAACAATAATAATGACGTTTATTGGTCAATGTCATTTGACTCTCAATTTTCCCATTTCCAAACAAAAAAAAAATCTCTACAATCTTAGTCTCTCTCTCTTCCTTTTTCACATTCACTGTGGATGACAATAAAAATCTATACAACAACAACAACAACAAATCGATCAAATATTAAATACAGTGATATATCGTTTTACAAATTTAAAAAAATTATAAAATTTTGTAGGTGGAAAAATATTCAAAAATCAAATTACATGTTGATCATCCTGGTCTCTCTCTTTTTGGATCATCCAAAAGAAAATCTGTTTGTTTTTTGTTTTGTTTTGTGTGTTGAAATGATCAAATCATCAAATAATAGATATTATGAAATAGATTCATTGTGAAAATATTTCGAAATAAAATTTCGAATGAACAAAATATTTTAAAAAAAGAGCTGTTGCCATTGAATAAGGAATGAACAACGTATGGCTTGAAAACGTACTGCAAACAAAAAAAAAATGAAAATGAAAATAAAACCATAGAGAATGATGATTGGAGAAAACAAAACAAAACAAGAAGAGAAAATCAAATATATTTAAAAAAAAATCCATCCATTCATTTCCTCACATTGCAAACATTGTGAATGAATTTTTCTCAACGTAAATTTTTTTTCCAAATAAAAACCTGAGTTTGAATCAAATCAAATCAAATCAAAGAAAAAAAAATGAAATAAAATTCAAGAAAAACAGAAAAAAATATACATCATTCAATAGTGCTAGGTTTTTCTTTTTTTCTTTTCTTTCTTTCATTTTTTGTTGTTGTTTGGATGTTAACAAAAACGACAACAAACAAACAAATAACAAAGATTCATGTCATATGAAAAAAATATAATTTGAAAATTGGAAATAAATAATAATAATAATGATAATGATTTCAGTTGGAAAATCAGTTTTCATTTTCATTTTTGTATTTTGTATCCACAAATTGTGATGGTGCATCGACGACGACGACGACAACAACAACAACAAAAAAAACCATTCTAATTGATCATCATCATCATTGTCATTGTCAATTTCAACTTTGATCGATTAACATCAAGTGACGACGACAGCAACAACAGTGAATTATTTTTTAAAAAATATAAATATTATTCCATCATAATGATGTTGACGTTGATGATGATGATGAGGATGATCAATATTGAAATTTTTGTTTACTATTTTTTTTTATTTAAAAAAAACTATTAAATCAAAATTTGTGTAGGTGTTTGTTTGTGTGTTCCAAACAGCAAAAAAAGTAAAAGTGAAAAAAGTGATTTTTTTTTAATATTTTGATTATCAAATGTCAACTGAAACTAAAATTCATAAATTAAATTAAATCAACCTGTTAAAGTACTAGAGAATTTAAATTAAAAAAAAAAATTCAACAAATAATGTTTCAAAGAAAACGTAACGGTAAAAAATGCCATGACGGTGGTATCGGTGTTGGTGGTGGATGTTGTGAAGATGATGATAATAGTAGTAATGATAGTAATAATAATGGCAGTTTATCTAGTCTAATTCTACGTTATTTTCTACTAATATTAATTGTTGGTGTGATTATTTATCAAGCATTTAATAATTATCATGTTATAACATATGTAAGCCATTCAGTGAAATCATTTTTTCGTGGTGATTTTGATAATATAATTGGTATTGTTGATGATAATTATAATAATAATAATAATAGTGATGATCGAAAAAATAATATTTATTATGTGCCCGGTGAAACAGAAATTTTAAGACATATGGTTATTAGAACAAGATTAGGTCGTTTACGTGGTTTTGTACAGAATGTGAATAATGTTGAAGTGCAAACATTTTTGTCCGTACCATTTGGACAACCACCAATTGATAAATTACGTTTTCGTCGTACACGACCAATACGTAAATGGACTGGTATAAAAGATGCAACAGAATTTCCATCACCATGTATACAATCCGAATATACGCAACGTTTATTTCCTGTACATATTATCAATCAAAATGTATCCGAAGATTGTCTTTATTTAAATATTTGGAGTCCATTAGGTTCAAGAAATAAATCCGTTATGGTTATGATACATGGTGGATTATTTACAATTGGTTCAATAAGTGTTGATGAATATGATGGTCGTATGTTAGCGGCACATGGTGATGTTGTTGTTGTTACCATTCAATATAGATTGGGTATATTCGGATTTTTAGATCTTGATTCTGAACGTATACCCGGTAATATGGGATTATTTGATCAAGCAATGGCATTAAAATGGATACATGATAATATTCGATATTTTGGTGGTAATCCAAATTCAATTACATTATTTGGAACATCGGCCGGTTCGATTTCCATTGGTTTTCATATGTTTTCATCACATGCACAACGTTTATTTCAACGTGCCATATTACAAAGTGGTTCACCAATGTTATTAAAAGATGCATTTTTACGTGGTGAAAGTGTTGCTGAAAAATTTGCCGAAATTATTGGCTGCTATGAAAAAGGTAATCAAACAATATATGAAGATCCAGAACCGATTATCGATTGTATTGATCAAACACCATTTGATCAGATTTATAAAGCACAAGATGAAATTGTACAAGATAATCCGGTACCATTTATGCCAACAATACCAAGTGAATATATTGAAAGTTTAATTGGTGATTTTAATGATTCGATCAAATTATTTCAGAAACAAGTTTTAATGGGTAAGTACTGTTTGTTGAATGATTGATTGAATGATTCATACTTTTGTATGTAACATTGACAATGATAATGACATAACATAACATAACATTTGATTTTATTGAAAAAAAATAGGCTTCAATTTGAATGAAGGTGCATTAATGTTACATTTATCATATCCAAAAATTTATACACGTCATGATGTACCAAAACATAAGCTATTGAAACAAGTACAAAAAAGTGTTGTAACAATGGGCGTCGATTCAGGTCTAAAAGAATCAACAGCAACAGCAATGGCAAATCTATTAATTAGAAGTGATCATGAAGAAGATAATCCAATTGTATGGGCACGTAAAGTAGCTGATCTATTCAGTGATGTTATGTTTGTATGTCCTACATATCAATTTGTTGATAAATTATTATCATTAAATACAACAACATATCTATATCTATTTGCGCAACGTTCAAAAAATAGTAAATGGGGTGAATGGATGCAGGTAACACATCATGATGAAATTAATTTTATTATGGGACATCCTTTACGTTATCCATTACTTTATAATGATGATGATCGTAATGTTAGTAGTATTATGATTAAAACATGGACACATTTTGCACGTACTGGGTAAGTTTCTCTTTTTCATTCAAATAAAAACAATGATGATGAAAATCACATTCAAAAACCTCGGGGTCAAATCAATCTGATTGATCTTTTGTTATTTTTTTTCATTCATTTATTATTATTCTTTTTTTTGCTATTCAAATCAATCAATTAATTAATCGATTGTATCATTTTGATGAATCTGTCAATTTTTTTTTTTTTTTGAAAAAAAATCTATCTAGTGAAATGCCTGAAACATTTTTTCAAGAAAAATGGCGCCCAACAATGTTGGAACAAAAAAATTTTATGCAATTAAAAGCCGGTGATATGCATATGGGAAATAATTTTCATAATGAATCCTGTGACCTTTATAATCTATTGGCAGATTATCTTAGTTAATTGATTGATTGATTGATTAATTTTTCGATCTAATCCAATCCAGCTATAGACAGAAAAAAAAGTTAACTTACGAACAACAACAAAAAGAAAAGAAAAAACATTTCAACATCTCATCATTATATAATCATCATCATCGAACAACAACAACAACAACAACAAAAATTATTTATTTCATCATCATCATTTTGAAATGGTCATTAAACTTGAAATTTTTTGATTTTGAAAAATTTGATTTTAGACTTTGTCTAATATTATACATTATTTCTCTCATTTTCATCTCAATAATTATTGTTTTTTTCTGTTGATGTAATTCTTTCTCATTGATTAATATTTTGAATTTATATTTAAATAAATTTTAAAAAAAAATTTATAAATAATTTTTCAAAGTAAAAGTATTGTTATTGTTATCGTTTTTTGCCATATGGAAATCGATTTATTTTTTCTCGGTGTTTCAGTTTTTATTTCAAATTTAAAAATAAATTTTCCTTCTAGTGGCTTCACTCCAAACTGAATTTTTCTATTTATTTTCGGTCCAAATCAATAGTCAACTGACTGACTGACTGACTTTGCTATCCAATTTGTTTTCATCGTCGTCATCATTAAAATCTAAATAAAATAGTACCACCGTTCTTCGTTGCCATTGGTATTTTTTCTGTTATCGTTTTGGGAATTTTTTTTTGAGGCAATTTAATTTTATTTTTCTCCATTTCCCATTTTCATTTGTTCAAATGGGAAATGGTAAGTATTACTAAAAAAAAGAAAGAAGAAGAAAAAAAAGTCAACTTCGATTTGTATCAATCCCGAACATTTATACAGATAAATCATTAGGGAAAGAATCTTTTTTTTTCAAGAATTTTTTTATTTTTTGGTTTTGTTTTTGTTCCTGGTTTGTTCTTCAAGTACATCCGTACGAATATTGTTTCTGCTTTCTGCTTATTTTCAAGAATTGTAAAATAATTAATGAAATGATTATCAATCAATTGATTTGATAATATCTTTTGATTTATTCATTTCAATTAATAATCTTCATGATCATTAAAAGAAAACTATGATGATGATTTTTAATCATCAAAACTACAACAACAACAAAATCCCTAAACCAACTGATTTTAACTGTTTTCAAAGAATTTTTATCAACCAAAAAAAAATAACAACAACAACAATAAAAACAACAAAACGAAAGAATCTAATTATCATTTTTCAATGTAACAAACCATAATAAAAAGACATGTTTTGTTTTCTATATTAGAAATTGTAATAAATAAATAAAAATTCTCGATGATTTTTCATTTTATTGTCATTTATCATTCATCATCATCATTTTTCAAAAAATGATGATAATAATAAGTTAAGGAAAAACAAAAATAGGAAATATTTAATGTTAAACAACAAACACACATAGGCAATGTTGTTGTTTTTTTTTTGTGAAAAAATATAATATTTGATTCCTTGTTATGCTATCATCATTATCAAACGACTATTACAATTTTGTTTAACTGGAAAATTCTTTCATTTTTTTTTGTGTATGTAAACCATAAATGTACTTAAAAATCATTGAAAATTCTGTTGATTGTTTTTTTTTTCATTGAAAATTCTTCAAGAATCTTTGTATCAACAAAAAAAAAATCAAAAATCAAAAATGATAAAAATTTTACGAAAATATTGGCGTTTATTATTATCAATATTTATGTTATTATATTTAACATTATTTACATTTATTTATTTATTCAATGATTATCATTTAAAATATAAATTTTTTGCTGATAATTATCTATCAATAATATCATCATCATCATCATCAAATGTTCAGATCAATAATAATAATAATAATCAAACATGTCATTTACCTATCAATCAATTTGAACCATTCGATTCAACAATAATAAAATATTTAGAATGGCGTCCAAAACAGATTCATTGTGAACAGGATAAAATTTTTCAACCATTAACATATATAAAAAATGGTTGGCTTAAACAAAATAATTCAAAATATAATTGTGAATATCAATTTATATCTAAACATCCAAATAATGATCTTATTGCTATTTATAGTAATAAAAAAATGCTTGACATTCAAATGGGTTTAAAATTATCAACTATGAATGAAAATTATATACTTGTTGAATGTTGTTGTTATCCGAATGGTAATTATTATGAAAATCTACATTTTTGGTATAATCCACAAATCAAAAATGATAATAATGATGTCATTGATGATGATGATGATGACAATATTATCAACGAAAATAATTTTAATGAAAAATCATCAACAATGACTGAACAAAATATATCGGTATTAATATTAGTCATTGAATCATTGTCACGTTTAAATTATTTACGTTATCTAAATCAAACAAAAAATATATTAGAAAATAATTATGGTAATATTTATTATCTAAATGGATTGAATAAAATTGCTGATAATTCATTTCCAAATATGGTACCATTATTAACCGGTAAACGTGTTTATTATGGTGAATTAAAAAATGAAAATTATGGACCATACGATGATTGGCCATTCATATGGAAACAATTTCAACAAAAAGGTTATCGTACAGCATTGGTTGAAGATTATCCAAAATTTACATTATTTAATTATGGTTCAAAAGGATTTATTAATAATCCACCAACAGATTTTTATCCACGACCATTTTGGTTACGATTATTTGAAGAATTTGATGGTATTCAACAAAAAATGGAACCATTTGATTTGAATCCTTGTTATAAATATCGTACACCTAAATTGGATATATTTCTTGATCAAACTAAACATTTTATTGAAAGATGTACAGAAAAATCAATACCATATTTTGGTTTCTTTTTCTACATTGAATTAACACATAATGATTTCAATTCGGCACAAACAATTGATTCACATTTAGCAAAATTTTTTCAACAATCACAACATTTACTTAATAATACAATTATTATGTTTATGGGTGATCATGGTAATCGTTTTGGTTCGGTATTACAAACACAGATTGGTCGTATTGAAGAACGAATGCCATTATTTTCTATTCGTTTACCTGAACAATTGTCTAGAAAATATCCGAATCTTTCGAAATTTCTTGATATGAATCAATCAAGGTTAGCCACTTGGCTTGATGTCAATCAAATGCTCAATGATATTCTCAATGGTATGATATAAAAAAAACAAAAACAAAATTTGTTTTGTAAATAATTTCAATATTTGTTTGTTTGTTTTCCTCTTTTTACACTTATATTAGCCAACTATACAAGTATTCATAACAATGACAATAATGGCCAACAAATTAATTCAATACGAAGACATTATTCACCTTGGCGTGAAATAATTCCCATTACACGTAATTGTACAACAGCATTAATACCCGATCTTTATTGTGCATGTGATTCTCGTATTAAATTGGATTTAAATTCATCATTAGTAATTGATGCATCCAATGCATTAGTCGATCATATTAATCATATACTTAATGAATATCGTTCCGTTTGTCGATTATTAGTGCTTAATCAGATACATTTAGCTGAGGTAAATATCTAATCTATCATTTATTTAAAGTGTGTTAATTAAATTTTTTTTTAAAAAATCAAGCAAATTCTACCAAGTTCAGCAACCGTACATTATCGTAATTTTCGACAACAGATTGAATTAACCATAATGGTTGAACCATCAAAAGGTCTGTTTCGTAGTCGCTTATATCGTACAGCAAATGATCCAAATCATTGGATTGTTGAAAGTGGACAAATTACACGTATCAATAAATATGGTCAACAATCATCTTGTATTACGCAACGTGATCTTAAACCATTCTGTTATTGTTATTATTTTATTTGATAAATTAAATAAAATTATTTTTTTTTTTTGAAAAATTTATTGACAATTCAAAACAACAGATGTCCTTAAAGTCGATATAGCCAACAAAAAAAAAACATTTACCACTACCATTATGGTAGATATATTCAACATAAAACAATACCACTTTCTTTCATTTTTACCAAACAAACAAAGAAACAATACAACTACAATTCAAACGCATGCTCAATAATGACAAATATTGATTTCACACTATTTCGATGCTCGTTGGCATGTGTATGTTATCTATCTTTTTTATCCCTCTCTCTCTCTCTCTCTTTCTCGTTGTTGTTGATGTTTTTTTTTCTTCTTCTTGAAAAACGCATTGGCATTGAGAATTTAAGTAAAATTATTTAGTAAAAATAAGAATTTATAACAAAAAGATTAATTCGATAAATTCTATAAAAAAAAAAATCATTAATTATTTTCATTAATAGATAAATCTTAAATTCTTTATTTTCTTTTCATTCTTTCAATTTTTCAATATATTTTGGTTGTGATTTTTAATTGCTTACCTGGTTTTATGTTTTTATTTATTGGTTTGTCGTTTTAAAACATAGACATTCAATCCGGGTGTTTTTTTTTGATTTTCATCATTGAAAAAAATTCATTTTAGATTCTGTATAAAAGAAAAATCAATTCATTCATTTTTTTTTTGTTTGTGTTATTTTATCATCAAATCAAATATCATAATCGATTGATTTGAATTAAGTTTTTAAAAATGTGATTTCATCGTATTATTTTTTCGCTGATGTTGTTGTGATTATTCTCATTTTCATCATGATATTGTTTTTATGATGATTCCAAAGATAATGATAATGTTGAAAATAAAAATATAGCTATGATTTAATCATTTAAAAATATGCATTTATGTTATTTGTAGTAATTATTTTTGCATCTGTCCATTGTCATACATAATGATCATCGATTTTTCTTCATAAATATTCTCTCTTTCCTCGACACTGATCTATTATAATGGGGAATCCAGTTAAATTATGTTCATCTAATTCAATCCCTATTTCATCAGCTACATCCACAACATCATCATCATCATCAATTAATGATAATCATATTAATAATGAAATGAATCAAAACGATCTAAATTCATCATCATCATCACCATCGATAACGACAACAACCAATATGAATAATATAAAATTAATACAATCATCGATGAAAAAAATTCATCTCAATCAATCGAATATTAATTTAATTAATCTTGAGGATGATGATGATAATGATGATGATGATAATAATAATAAAACAAATGATTCAATAAATTTTATTGGAAAAACATGGAACGATTTGAACTTTGATAAATTACTTAATGATAATGATGATGATGGTAAATTTATGATTGAATTTTTTTTTTTGTTCAATAATAAATAATATTTTCAAAAATTTTTAGCTCAAATTGATGATAATTTTCTTAGTAACAAACGTATTGCAAGTGATTGTACAAAATTACCAATTGAAGATGTCGATTTATTTGGTCGTGGACCAGATTCTGAACCATTATTTACAGTAAAATGTAAAGCATGTAATCGTTTGATAAAAGCCAGTGCTTTTCGTCGTCATATTGGTTTGTATTATGTTTTTTCTTTTGTGTTTCAAAACGTTTAATTTGTGTTTTCCATATAGAAATAAGACATCCACATATGATTCCCAATGTACCACCGTCGTCAGCGGATGATAACAATGATTCAAGTAAGAATTGAATTAAATCATTCGATTAATTTATTAAAATCTGATTTTTTTTTATAGATTTAATCAATGGTTTTAGTCAATTTTCTTCGAAAAATTTAACGTCAACTAACTCTGATTTAATGTTCAATAATAATGAAAATTGGATAAAAAATGGTGATATTATGTCACAAACGAATGCAAATATAACGACGACTGCCAATACCAATACTTTAACTACCGGTTCTATGCATGCAAAGATAAATCAATCATTTATTCAAATAAACGGTCTACATAATGGTAAATTAAATTCAAATCTTACAAAATCGATAAATAAACAACAACAGAGTGGAAATAAAAATATACGACGTGTACAACAAATTTCTAATAAACAATCTGTAGATGATGATGATGATGATGATGATGTTATTGAAATTACCAATGATATAAACGTTCCACAATCAACATTCACATCGTCATCATCATCATCATCATCGTCATCATTATCATCAAAATCATTTGGTGGTGAAATAGAATTTCTTGGGCCAGTTAATTCATCTAATAATAAAACAACGACATCGACACTTCGTCGAAAAAATCATTCAAATAATAATTCAAAACAACAATCATCAATGTTTTGGTCGCCGACAGCATCAAATGTAATCAATTCTGGTAATGGTAATGCTGTTGCTGTATCTGGTAATGGTGGAAGTAATTTTACAGTTATCAAAGGTGTTTATTGTGGTGGTAATCTAGCAAGTGGAAATCAAGTTTTACCTGTATCCGCTTTACATAAATCAAATGGTAATCAAACAAATATTGTTAATGCAGAAATGGAACAATCACAACAACAATTATCCGGTACGACAGGTCAAAATGTATTGAAATTTCATGAAATTCTTGTACGATCATCATCATCGCCATCGTCATCTAATCAATCAACCACAACAACAACAATATCTAAATCTAAAGATGTAAATTCTATATTACGAACATCAACATCAAAACGTACAGCATCGGAATTATTATCATCTTGTGGAAATATTCCCGGAAATATTGTTGCAAAAAAATCTAAACCAAATAATAAAGCAACAAGTACAACGAAAACGGTAGCAATCACTGCGGCAACTACTACTAGTGCTGGTGGTCAACAGCAACAAGTAATCATGGTACCAACATCAATGTTATCATCAATCACAAGACAAATGGTTACTAATAATGAAACATTAACATCATCACAAATGAATGGATTACACCAACAATCACAGATTCTCAATAATGAATTCAATATGAATACGAATGGTAACATTATTAACAACAATACAACCACCATATCAATCACAACAAATTGTTCAACAACAACAACATCAGTATCCAAAATGAGATCGCAACCACCATCACCAATGTTGATGCCACCACCACCTAGTCCAGTAGTACCAAAGAAACGTTCAATTGTTTTATGTAAAAATCGTGAATATGATCCGGATCAACATTGTGGTGTACAATTAGCCAATATGGAAAGACCATGTACACGATCATTAACATGTCGATCTCATATGATCTCATTACGACGTAATGTATCTGGTCGATCAAAACCGTTTGATGAATTATTAAGTGAATATAAACGTGAACGTGGTATGAAAGAACGTCGTGAACGTAAACCAAGAAATAAATCCAAAACAACAATAACAACATCATTATCAAATGATGAAATTACTTTACATCAACAACAACAACAATTATCAACAAATGGAACAATACCATTAAGCAATGCAATAAAACGTTCATTACAAGCAAAAATTTCAAACAATTCAAAATTATCTAAAACAAATGTGATTCATAAAGATATTAAACGTATTAGTAATAATGATCAAAGAAGTTTATTATTACAACAACGATCAACAAAATATAAAGTGATAAAGAATATAAATTTACGATTATTTTCACCAATATCAATTAATAATAATAATAATATTCTTGATCGATTTCAATTTATACGCACATTATTTAAATCGATTGAATATCCATGTTTAAAAGAAAATATTATTATTGATCCATGTTTAGATGCAGCAAGTAAACTACAACGTTTATTACATTATAAAGAATTATTGGCAAGAAAAATACAGAAAAAAGCCATTGCAAAAGAATCACGTAAAAATAAGATCTTATTAAGTGAATCGATTGAGAAAGGATCAATTCATCATTACCGTCGACTACGACGACGACGACTGCAACACCAACACCAACAACAGCATCAGACGGAAACAATGGCCGGATTCGTATTTATTGATCATTATCCACGTCCAGCTGCTGTACAATCATCATATAAAAATCAAGATTTTCCAATCTATTTTACAACTGATTCAAGTAAAAAACTTAAATTGAATTCAACGATTGATCCATATAATCATCCATTAGTAGCTGGTATTGCAATGAATCCATATGATAATTCGAGAACAAAATTTTCCAATTTCATGAAAATAATGTCAAAAGATTTGTCACAACATTCAAAACATTCATCGCCAGCAAAAACATCAGACAAATCAATAGTCAACTCCGGATCTGGCATTAATTCATCATCAATAGTATTGGCAAATCGACAATTAAATGCTGTGCCATCAAAAATATCTGGAAAATTTTACAAAGAAAGTGGCGTTACATTATTGAAACAAACAGCGGCTACAACCACATCATCACCATCAATCACTAATTCTAATTCTCAACAATCGATTGCGACTGCAAAATTAGTTAATAATAATGTTGATAATATTCAACAATCAACAAATATCAAGATTAAACGTGAAGGTATAACCATATTAAAACCAACGAAAACATCTAAATCGGCCAATATTGTTAAAAATATTAAAGATTCTGGTATTACAATGTTGAAACGATCATTATCAACAACAACAACAACAGCAGCAACTAAACCGATAAATCGATCAATATCATCTCAACAACAGCATCCTGTCGCTGCATCGTTCGGTATGATACAGCAACAATCAAAATCAATCACCGATAATACAGCGAATAAATCATTATTGAAATCGACGAAAACATTGTTGACGATGAGTAACAATACTGTTTCACCAACAACGATATCGCCACAGACAAAAATCTTGAATTCAAAGGATCAATCAACATCTTCGTTGATGATGACAACAACAGCCACAACATCATTGTTGAAAATGAATGGTACTTATTTTCAAATGAAAAATTTTTAAATTTTAAAATAATTAAATTTCTTTTTTTTTCTCAACAAACAGATTCCAAATGTAAAAAATCAAAACGAACAAGCAATCAAATGATGAATGAATCATCATCGACAAATAATATTGGATCAATTCAAACATTAACGATAACGGATCCGGCAAAAATTTCATTGATTGATAATAAAAATGTTTCGATCAATAATAATTCGCAGCAACAAATTTCAACATTGAATCAAACAAATGTTAATAAATCAACGGTAACTATATCACCAAAACCTAAAACTGCCAAAATTCGTTTTGCCAAAATGATGGGACCAAATATTTCCATTGCTGCATCATCAACCACATCAAACAATTTGAATGATCAGATGACCATAGGAGGAATGAAAACATTTTCAATGTCTTTTACAAATGATGAATCTCAGCGATCAGAACTACCACCGCAGCAGCAGCAACAACAACAATTATTTAATAGAATATCGACACCATCGACGAGTGGAATTCGTAGCGAAAAAGATATAATTGAAAATATTAAAGCTGATCTTATCAATAGCTATGAAAATCGTGATATAATAACAACGAAAACATCAATGAATCGTTCTTCAATTGATTATATGTCAATACAGAATGTAAATTTTGATACTGATACGCAGAATGTTCCGGATTATATTGTCGATTTGATTGATGAATTGGAACAAACACCTAAAACACCACAACCATCACTACAATCACAAACTACTTTGAATCGATCAGCCGAACAACAACAATCGATAAAAATAAATCAATTACCTAATGGTGTACAACACGTAATCTATCAGACAATAAATAATCAAAATTCTGTGTCGAACAATAATAACTTATTTTCACTTACCATGGAACAAAAAGGAAACCAACAAAATAAACGTAAAATTGAACAGACAGCAATCAATGCGAATACAGCCGATAATCTTACATCGGTAGCTTTTGTATCGAAATCAAATACCACAACAACAAATGTGTCACAAAAGCCGCCAAATCTAACAAAGGCACGTGCAAATTCACGTACGGTTAATAAAGCTGTTACGATGGCTAAATCAGCAACAGGTGCACAACAACAGGCTAGTTTACCACAAAATTTTACTATTACAAATTCGGCTGGAATTTTGAATGTAAGTTCCAAATTGTTGACTTTATCTGACTTTGATTATTAACTTTTTTTAAATTTTTATAAACAGAAAACAAATACTACAAGCATAATTAATCATCAGATGAATAAATTGAAGTCTATAGATCATATAGATAATAATAATGTTACGACGACAGTTAAACCACCGAAATTTACTGCCATATTGAATGGAATGAATTCGGAACATCATGGACAAATTATCTGTAATCCAGAAACATTGAAAACATTAAATAGTGTTATCAATAGTGCTGGTAATTTTCTTGTTATCCGATTATTCATTATCAATATTTCTAATCTTATGTGTTTTACTTTACAATAGCATTTAGACAAGCTGCAAGTAATGCCATTGCAAGTGGTACAACTACCGCTTCAGCTAAAATCAATGCAACAGGATCGAATGAAAAATCTATTATTGTACCATTGACATTTACCACTGGTCAACAACAACAACAAGCTTCTAATCAACAATCATATCAAACAATACAGATTCAGCCAGGTAAAACTGGTTTAAATACAATTACCACACAACAACAACAACAGGTCGCAACATCATTGTCATCAACGGGTAATAATCTTACACATTTACAAACAATAAATTCAGTATCAACATCATTACCATCATCATCATCTTCTTCATCAGCATCATCATCATCATCAACAACAACAACAACATCGATGACATCAAATGGTCAACAACAATTTACAACCATTCCTTTGGCTACAATACAAGGCAATGGCCAAACATTTTTATTACCATTTTCATCAATAAATCCTGTTCAAAATATTTATATACTTCATCAATCAACACCATCAACAACGACAACATCAACGATTGATACCCAACATCATACTTTATCATCATCATCAACGACAACAACAACAAACATAAATCGATTAACAAATTCATTGGTCAACAATATTACTACTGGTAGTAATAGTAAAAAATAATGGTCAACATTCTTAAAAATACACACACACACACACACACATATGGTTGCATATCAATGAATTTATTAGCATGAGAATGTGAATTGAAACAAAACAAAACAAAAAAAATTGAGCTTTGCACACAATAACATGAACACACATCCTTTACCGCATTGCCACAATCCAATTTTCAATAATTAATCATAGTGAACAATTTTCCTAATTATATATTGTTTAAATATTACCTAAAAAATCATTCATTACATGAATTACAATACAAGTTGATTAGGAAAATTAGTGATATATTTGTATTACACTTTCCGATGATTCAAAAAAAAAACAAAATCCAAACTGTTTGACCTTTATGGCCATGAATGATTGTCATTATTATTAAGATGAAATTTTTTTTTTGACACTTTATTTTCTCGGTTCTTTCCTTTTATGTAATAATTTAATTATTCATTGATTTTAAATTTGATTTTTTTTTCTTTGCTTTGTAACGGGGATAAATCATTTGAATTCGTAATTCATTCATATTTTTAATTGATAAGTGTATGTGTGATTTTTTTTTTAAAAATTATTATTTATGTTTAAATTTAAATTAAATTTGGTGGTTTGTGAATTAAAATAATATTAATTTAAAAAAAAAATTAAGGTCATCAATATTTTCATGTTGACATTGCCATTTATAATGGTATGATGATGATATGTAAATAAATCACATAGATCACATTGATTTATTCAACGATACTTTATCATCATAAGATATAATCAAAACTATAGCAGCTGACAGACAGACAAACAAACAAGCACGGGTCATTATTAATTAATTCTGAAATTAACCTTGATTATTTTTTTTTTTTTGGGAAAAAATCGATTTATTCATTGCCTTCAGCCTTAATTTAAAATAAACAGACTTTTAATTAATATTAATATTTCATAATTTTTTGGCAAAACAAAAAAAATTTTTTGGAAGAATCTTTGATTGATTGAGCCCATTCGTTTTTATTCCATTTGATTTTATTTTATTTAAAAATTTTGATTCTAACAATGAAATTGTATTGAAAACTTATATTTGTACAAGTAATAATTTGAATAATTAATTGTTTTGTTTGTTTGTTTGTTTTTTCAGTCAGTCTGTAAACAAATCAAAAGTGAAAAGATGTTAAGGACGAATATTCAGTGTGTGTATGTGTGTATGTTTATATTGGCCATAAATCAGGTGAATTGAATTCAATCAATTCTCAAATCACCATCATCATATTGATATATTATTATTATTATCAATATATTAACCTCGAGCTTGATAGGCTTTGATTTTGGTTTGTGAATTAACTTCATCAATAATAAAATTAACAACATCGGATGTTTTGGCATTACCACCCATATCTAATGTATGTAATTTTTCAATATTGATTGCTTTATAAATAGCATCACGAACAATATCAGCACAGGATTCTAATTGAAGATAATCCAATAGGTCAACTGATGCATTCAACATTGCAATTGGATTGGCTACATTTTTACCGGCAACTTTTTTACCGGTATTACGTGTACCCTGTTGATTAATTATATTTGCGAATGAAATTTGAAAAAACAACCTTAATTTTTACATACAGTTTCAAAAACGGCATGAGTGGGACCATAATTTCGTCCGGATGTAATACCTGGACCACCAACTAATCCACAGGCAATATTTGTCAATATATTTCCATAAAGATTAGGCAATAATAATACATCAAATTGATTTGGATTGGATACCAACTATATAATGGAAACAAAAAGAGTAAAGTGATATTTGATGCCGAATAAAAAAAAACAAACCTGCATTGAACAATTATCGATAATCATATTATTGAATTCAATATCTGGATATTCTTTAGCGATTTCCGTACAAACTTTCAAGAATAAACCATCTGCCATTTTCATAATATTAGCTTTATGTACGCATGTTAATTTTTTACGATTATGTGAACGTGCATAATCAAATGCATAACGAGCAACTTGTTCAGTCTTTTCTCTTGTAACAATCTTTAAACTTTCGACAACACCATCAACACTTTCATGTTCCAAACATGAATATTCACCTTCAGTATTTTGTCGTATCAATATAATATCAATATCCTTATGACGTGTTTTAATACCCGGATTTGATTTACAATGTACAACATTGACAAATAAATTCAATCGTAATCGTAGTTCAACATTACGTGATAGAAAATACTTTGAATGTTCACGTGTTTCAATATTTCCTTTGATTGCAGCACCATTACGTAGAATTGAAGTGATTGCTTCAATCATATTTTCCGGATCTTCATTATGTGAATCAAGTTGTACTTCTTCAAAATCAACAGGAAAACCACCCACTCTGTGATGATCAAATATAATTCAAAATTTAAATTTTTTCAATTCAAAATAAAATCAATACAAACTTACTGAAACATTTCACGTACATAACGAACCATTTCGGGTCCAATACCATCACCGGGCAATACTGTTATCATATGACGACCACCATATTTGGCTCGTGTAAAATATTTTTTCGTTTCAGCTTCATTATAAAATGAACGAATTGATTGATTATCTGATTGAATATTCTAGAATGAAATTCAATTTATTTTAATTAATTTGTTAATTCAATTAAAACAAAAAAAAACCTACCTTTTTCATCAAAAACGGTGTACTAGTCATTCGTGTTATATTCATCATATGTGGTGATGATAATAATTTTGTTGCCATTCCGGCTGTATTACCGATCCAGAATGACATTGTTTTTTTTCAAATTTCTTGTTTATTTCAAGAAAACAAAACAATTACCAAATTCACACCGATCGAGCAGAATTATTGTTTTCGTTTTTCGTACAAAAAAAAATCGATTCTGGATTCTATAACAATATATTTCACGAAAAAAAATCATAGAATGAAAATAAAAAAAACTCTATATGAAATTGAATCCTTAGTGATGATAATGATAGGTTATTTTATTGTTTTTTTTAACGAAAACGAAAACTAAAAAATACAAACGATCATATTAACACAACACAAAACAAACCGAACGAAAACATACAAAGATCATTGAGGACGGGAGAAATAAAAGAAAGAAAGACATCATAAGGATTCAAGGATATAAAATGAAAAATACATAGATGATAAACATCTACGGCGACTCGATATTAAATAATAATAATAATGTTTTTTTTTTTCCTTTCATTCGTATGTTTTAACCAGAATTTTTTTTTCTTTTTCTATGTTAACTTTTACCCATACACACAACACAGAAACATTGGCACAAATATAATAGATATATTCGAAATTATCAGTATTGCCATCTATCGTTTTGGATTTTAAATGATGATTGAATTTAAAAAAAATGATAATTTTATTTTCAAAATTTTGCATTAAATTTATCAAATTTTAAAATCAGAAAAAATGAATAATAAAATTGAGGCTAACTATTGAACTATTTTATTCATTTATTTGATTCAATTTATATAAAATTGATAATAATGATGATGATGATGGTTCAGATAGAGCGATATTTTAAATTTGATCATCAATTTCTTTCACTTTTTTATGTTATTACATAATAAAAAATTTTTTGAATTAAAATTTGTTTATATATAAAATCACCCTATAGCCAAAAATAAATAAATAAATAAATAAAATTATCGTCAATTGACATATGAATTGAATTACTATGGTCATTGATAGATAATAAATAATAGTAATGTCCTTTTTTTTTTGTTTGTTGATATCATTATCTAAAAATATCTATCTAAGATTCTTTATATTCCAATGAATGAATGAATGAATGAATTTTCTCACTTTCAATATATGGATTTCCCATGAGAAATTTATTATCATCATAATCATAATCATCATCATGATGATGGTATTTGGAGTTTCGGAATGAATGGACAAAAAAATCTTTCATTCAAAAAAATTGGTCAAGAAAATGGATCCAATTTCGAGAAAAAGGAAAAAAAATTCGGATGATGATGATGATGATGATGATTATTGTGGTTTCATTCTATTTTTCTTTAGTGGACAAAAAGAAAAAAAAAATTTCTTTCCGTTTTCTTCTATTTTGATAATTTTTTTTTGCTGTTATGGTGGTCGAAATAGCCATATTTATAAGTAATCATCATCATCATCATTTTGACAAATGATGATAGTTGCGTGTGTGTATGCAAAGAAGAAAAAAAATCTTCAAAGATTTTCAATTAATTGGTAATAAAAATGTTTTTGTCGTTAAAAATCTGATATCGGATCGGTTCGGTTTTTTTTTTTTGGTCAAATGTATAGTTTATCAAAGACATTTCATTTCAGTTATGGATTTTTAATGGATTGATCATCATTTAGACGTTTCCTATATCAGTTTATTTATTTATTTATCCAGCAAAAAAAGTGGATTTTTTTTTTGTCCAAAATATGAAAATATGAAAAATGAATCATTCGAATAGGAAATGAAATGATATTTCTTATGTAACACATTTTTTTTTTGTTCATCAGAAAAGCAAAATTATTTTTCTTTTTTTTTTGACAAACAGATTGGTCATCATCATCATCATCGTCGTCATTATCAGAATGAAAATGAATTTCCTTTTCATCGTCATCATCATCTTTTTTGATTTGATCCTATCTCTCTTTATTATTACCCTTTATTTATTTGTGAATTCAGTAAACAATTCGATCATCATTATTTGTTCAAAGGAAACAACAACAACAACAAAAAAAAATCGGGAAGAAATGTCAAACAAAAAATTGTCATTTTTTCTTCAAACAAAATCATTCATCAATCTTTTTTTTTTGTTTGGCTTGATTGTAGTTATCCCCACTTATCTCCTTCAAAAAACAAAAAAAAATATCAAAGCAAAATTGATTTGACCAACATTTGACCGCATTAAGATCCAAAATTGATTAATTAATGAATTAATTATTTGGGATAAGCAGAAAAAGAAAAAAATTCCGAAATAACTTGAACTGTCATTCATTAGTCTTCTTTTCTGATAAAAAGGATTTAAAAAAAACCAGTATTTTTTTCTATAGAAAGAAAAATCTAAAAATCTAAAAGTAAGTTAATGAAAATCGGCAGTTGTTGTTGTTGTTTTTTTGTGACATATCAACAAATAAAAAAACAAAACTATGATGATCTTTATTGATTAGAAACAAATGATTTGCCCTGAAAGTAAATTTTCTTCTAATTTAACTTCAATGTAACCAATATTAAGGGCATATAGAAATTTTTATCAATCTAATCCATAATGATCATCATCATTATGGATTTAATCAAAGAAAAAAAATCATCATTATTATCATCAAAGAGATTTAAAAATGATCAAAATAATTGAATGAAGTGAATGCGCTAAAGAGAAAAAAAGATGACACACAATATTCAGAAATGGATAAATGAAGAGAGAGAGAAGAAGAAACGGGACCAGAAATGATCTTTTATGGAAAAATCTAGAGAAACTTGTCGCCCAAATTATCTAACACACAGACACACACACACACACACACAGGGGTTAGAAATTAAAAATAAAATCTAATGAAAAATCTATGAATGAATGAATGAAATCGGTGTGTATGAAGAGAGAGAAAATAAATAATTTTTTCTGTGGTTTTTTCTCTGATCATGATAATAAAAATGGGATGTAAATAATGATATTTTCATTTTCTCTCACTCTCTCTCTCATTTAATCATCAATCTCAATTTATTCTCATATACCGTATTGAAACCATTTTGCAAATTTTTTTGGGGATTTCTTTGTTTGTTTGTTTGTTTAGATGGATGGAGAAAAAAAAATCTCTCTGAAATTTTACTTTTTTTTTGGACATAAAAAATCCAAACTCATTGGAATCACAAACAAACAAACATTCATTCATTCAATCATTTGTCGATCAAACTATACGGTGATACCTTCAATAAATATTTGTTGGTATTTTTTTCTGTGAAAGAATGTTAAAAAATTATCACCATCAACAACAACAACAATTGCCAACTTTATCGATAATGATGGCCAAATTTTTAAGATTATTTTTATTATTAACAATATTATTATCGATTATAACATTGGTAAATGGATTACAATCAACAATGTCATCATCAATGGATGATGATAATGATTCAATGACCGATCAAATGAAACAGATGCGTCGTAATGAAGTATCAAAAGCATTATTATTATTGAAAAAACATTCAATTGTTGGTAGTAATGCAAAAATTGTATTGAAAAATAATGGCCGTCATTTATTGGTTGATCCAAGTGAACGAATACGTATTGTATCAAGTCATTTATCAAAAAAATCAACATCATCCACAACATCATCAAAATCTAAATCATTAAAATTGAATAAAAAAGATAATAATAGTAACAAAAGTGAAAAACAACGAATGAAAAAATCTAATCGTAATCATCGAAAATCTTCATCATCGTCAACCACAGCTTCCTCATCATCATTATCCAATTCTAAGGATCAATTAAGCAAGGGTAAGGGAAAATTGTGAATAATTTTTGCCAAAAAAAAATATTAAAAAAATAAAAAACTTAAAAAAAAATTAAAAAATCATTGAGGTTAGTGTTATTATTCAAATATTTTGGCCAATTATTTATATTAATAGAATAATTTTTCATTTTATTTTTTTTCTACATCTTTTTTCCATTAAAAAATCAAAAGCTTCAAGATCAATACCATCGATTAGTGTTGAAAGTGTACAACGAAACATAATGAGACGAGCATCATCAAAATCACCAACAGTAATTGATTCATTAATGGGACAACATATGTTAAAAGATATAACTGAAATAATAACAACAATTATACGTAATAAACAGGCAAGTTCATTAGTTGAATTAAGTGATTTGATTACTGAAACATTAAATGAACGTTATGGACCACATTGGCATACAATATCGGTAGCAAGTCCAAAAGAATTTCCACAATCAGAATCAACATCATCAAATCATGAAATATTATTAGATACAATATTATCAAATCATAATCAAATTGATTCATTAACACATGTTGCCGTTGATGATCATCAAAAATCAGCTATTTTTTATGTTACATTCGATTTTGGACGTATGTTACGGATATTTATTTTCAAATAAATCGATCAATCAAATCGAATCAATCGAACTGTGAAATCACTTTGAAATCAATTTGATATATTTGTCATAAATGGGATATAAAACTATTCGATTTCGATTTCATCTATGGCCATTAATATTTTTGTGTCCAATATTAACAAACACATGATCTTTTCACTTGATACACAAATATTGATCTTTGATCTAAATTATTCTTTGAAATGACCACCATAACAAAATCTATTGTTAATTACTTAATTATTTACTGATGATGATAATGATGTTTGCTCATTTCTCGTTATTGTTTTTGTTGTTTACTGTTTTTTTTCCTTCATACTTTTCATCAAAAAAAAAAAAAAATTTCATATTCATTCTCTTTTGTTTCATTGTCTTAATTATTAATTTCTTTTTTTTGCTCTCTGTAGTACTCTCTGTATTCATTCCATGTAATAGTTGAATAAAAAAAAATCTTACAATTTCATTTTTTTTCAAATATGAAAATTCGATCAAATCAATTTCAATCTTGTCGAACAAACAAACAAACAAACAAACAAGAAAGAATTCATAATTTATGAATGAAAAAAACATTTTCAAAACTTTTCCAATGTTTAATTATAGAATTTATTATGAACGACATTATTTTTTCCAGTCCCCGACATGTCAATCTATGGTATGGAAATAATGATTATCATTAGAATGTCAACAACAACAAAAATTTTTTGCACTTACATTTACATCTTTCATATTGGCACACATATTTGAATTTCAAGTACATTTCAATTACAAGGCAACAGGAAAATCAGATTTGACAGCATCAGCAGCTAACCAAGGATAATGATAAAGGATGGGTATTAAAATGCCTCAAGATGGCAGCGTTATCCAGTGTGTAGGGTAAATTCTATTCTGTTACAAATCAAAATTTAATGAAATTCTGGCAAATCAAGCAGAAAAAAATCGCTAAATAAATAAACATTTGATCAGTGTGCGTGTGTGTGTGCGGTAGATTTGAACCAACCAACCAACCAAGATTCTGTTCAATTTCAATTATCGATCGGTTGACACATATATTGTATATTCATTGGCCAAAAAGAAAATTTCAAAAACTGATGATGATGATGAAATTCTGGAGAAAAAAAAGATGCAACAAACAAGAAGCAACAGTAAAAAACAACGCCCTTACAATAATAATTTTCTTCTAGTAATTCTCGGTTTTGTTGTTTTTGTTGTTGTTGCTGTTGTTGTTGCTGTTGTTATTGGCATCGATTCATTGAATTCAAGATTCAAACAAACATTTAATGTTGAAAACAAGAAAGAAAGAAAAAAAATAAGCATAATTAAAACAAAATGGGGAAGAAAACTAAAACAGAAAAAAAATCTATAAATTTGAAAATCTATTTTTGAAAAGAATTTTTCCTTCTTGCTAATTTTTTTTTTCATTATTAGGTTAGAAAGGAGAAACGAAAAAATAAACTTATGGATAATCATCATTACCAGAACAAAAAAAAAGCTTGTGACTTTTTTTTTATATTTTCATACAAGTTCATTATGGATTGATTGAAGTTATGTTGAATAAATGATTAAGAAGAAGAAGAAAAAAAACATCCAGAATAATAAAGAATGAAGAAAAAAAAACAGACAAATAGAATAAGTAGAATGCAGAATATTCTGAATTTTGATGAATGATAATAAAATAAGATTTTCGTTCTTTCCTTCTTTCTTTCTTTCTTGTTGAATTCCGATGTAAATAACTTTAAATAAGGATTTATTACCACTAATACTAATCATCATCATCATCATCATTAAGATGTTGATGAAGTTTTTTTTTCTCGAGATTCTATCTTTCTATATTGATATATTCCTGGCAGATTAACTTATTTTTTCGTTGTTGTTGTTGTTGTTGTCTTTACTGAATTTATTCATTACTGAACACGAATATGTATAAGAAGAATTATTTCATTCAAATAAGATTAGTATTGTTTTCATCGTTGATACGACAAGATTCTTTGATTTTAACATTGCAATACATTGCATAATACAGAGAAAAAATCATATATTTATTAATTTGAAAAAGCTAATCGATATTAAAAAACAATAGAAAATAAACAAATAAATAATCATGTCAAGATATTTTCGTCCATTAACTGGTGATCCATTTTGGGATTCATTTTGGACATCGGAACGTTCATTTTTTGATACACATTTTGGTTCAACATTAACTGAAGAGGATTTTTTTCCATCCAATTATTTTGTTCGTCGTCGTCCGCTTGGGTAAATATATTTATTTATTTTAATTTTGTTTCTATTTTTTTTTCATTTGCAAATTAATTATTTTCGAATCCAAAATTAAATATAAATATATAGTGCACCAAGAAGTCCATTGATTGCACCACATTCACCTATAATGCCCAGTCATATGCATCCATTAGATAAAGCTATGTATGGTAATAATAATGTACAACAAACAGGTAGTGTTGTTGGTAGTAGTAGTGGTGGTGGTGGTGCTCCAATCGGTGATCTGATTCCAGCTAATGATAAATATCAGATTATGGTCGATGTATCACATTTTAATCCGGATGAAATATCTGTTAAAATGGTTGATAATGCTGTTATTGTAACTGGTAAACATGAAGATAAAGCTGATAATTATGGTTATGTTTCAAGACAATTTTCAAGAAAATATCTTTTACCGGCTGATGTTGAACCTGAATCGGTAACATCAACATTATCGGCTGATGGTATACTTAGTATACAAGCACCACGTAAACCATTACAAATTACTGATGATACAGCTGGACGTAGTGTACCAATTGCTATTAGTAATCAAAGTTTATCACCAGCATTGAATTTAGTTCCACCACAATTTCCACCAACAACAGCTACAGCATCAGCACAACAACCACCACCAATGCCAAGTGGTTTATCCGGTACAATGACTATTGAACGTAGTGTTCAACAACAAACAAGTACAAAAACAGCCCAAGATCAAGGTTCATCAAATGTTGCTGATAATGTTGGTATGAATATACCGATTGTACAACAACAACAACAACAACAGAATCTAGCATCTCAACCTAATCAGCAACAACAACCGCCCCCACCACCCCCACCAACTCAATAAGTAAAATTATCAGAATATTGGATAATTTTGAAGAACAAAAAAAAATTAATCAAAAACTAATCAAACAACGATGATTTCTATTCAATATATTAATAGATTCTATTCAATTATCTGAAAGAATTCATTAACAAAAACAGGATTTGTTTTTTTAATCCAAAAAACAAAGAAAAAATTTCAATTTTAAAAAACAAACTTTGTCCAAGCACAAACACAAACACACATTTGATAATATAAAATTTCTATTCTTATTTTTATCCAGGTGAAAGAACACACACACACACATACACAAACGCTTGGTTAGGTCATACAAACTGAAATCGAAATTGATGTCATCACACATTTTGTATACAACAATGGTCAATGATTGGCTGCCAATTTCAGTATACACTGACTGACTGACTGACTAACTAACTAACTAACGAAGTAACTAACAAACAAACAAACAAACAAACAAAATAACTGGACAATAAAAGCATCATCATATAATAATAATAATAATAGAATTTTTGTGTTGCAGAAATAAAATAACTGAAAAAAAATAAAAATAGCATCATCATTTTTTTTTAAATTTCTTTTTACTTTCACACTGATCATACACACAAACACACACAGACCATATCGACAACAAACAAACAATTCGTTGTCGTTCATCATCATCATCATCGCCATCGATTTGATTTGATGCTACTTTTATCCATTATCCATAAGAGAAAAAAAAGAATGTTGAAAAAAAAAATTTGCCAACCAACCAACCAACCAACCAGTCAATAATGTCAAAATAATTTTTTAAAATAACAACTGAACCGAACCGAGAAAAAAAACCAAATCAAATAGGATGCTGTTAAATTGACCATTTTTCTTAAATTTTGATGTTTTTTTTGGCTGAAAAACTGTACATGTTTTCCAAAAAAAATATCCAAGCAATTCGCCATACACATCAATGTACTTGGAAAGTAACATTTATGATGATGATGAAACAAAAAAAATGAAAAATTATTCAATTTTTCAGGCAACCAACCAACTGCGAAAACAAAATAAAAAATCGGTAATCATCATATGACATGTTGTGAATGAATGGATTGTGGAAAACTACAACAGCAGCAACAACAGTAACGAATGAAAATAAAACGCATCACGTTTTTATCATTGAAAATTATTTTCGGAACAAAAACAAAAAAATGCTGATGTCGGTGTTTAATAATAGGTAAAAAAAATTAATCACAATTAATCGATTGTGATATGATCGGTTGATCAAGAGATCATTGGTCTTTCATTTTTTGTTGTTGATGGGGATGTATGTACGTAAACCGAACAAACAAACAAACAAACAAAATCTATTTCCGAACTTTCGATTTTTTCTAATTTGAGTATTAAAAAAAACCCGAAGATTATCATCATCATCAAGGAGAAAACATTGAATTGAAATTGATTTTTGTTTTCGCCTTTTCATCTCTGTTACCTGTTCATCATTGTCGATAATAATGATGATGATGATTTCAATTTCAAGTTTGTTGCCGTCATTGTTGTTATCGTTGTTTTTTCTTTTTTTGGTTCGGTTTTCGAGGTTATTGAAAGTATCCAAATGAAAAAAAAATCACAAAATCATTCTTCGTCATTTTTTTTTGTTCTGACTATGATGAATGAGATTTTACAACAACAACAACAACAAGCATCCATTGCCAAAAATAATAATAATAATAGAAAACCAAAAAAATTTTCCAATCCAATCAAAAGAGATTACCCGATGCATCAGGTAATATACCAGGTAATATAATGTTGATTATAGATCTAAAAATATCGACAACAACATTTTTCTTACTCTTCTTTTTTTTGCCAAAAAAAAAAAAAAATTTATGAAACCGAATTGAACAACAACAACAACAACAACAAAATCCAGACAATTTATCATCATCATCATCATTATCATTGCAATTGACAATTTCCAACAATGTTTGTTGTTGTTGATGATGATGACTTTCAAATGATGATACAGTGTGATAGTGAAACAGTAGAAATGAACAATCGAAATATCATTGTTTAATAATAATAATAATACCAGAAGTAATATGAGAATTTGTTTTGATTGATTGGTTGATTGATCGCTTGAATAAGAGAAAAAAGGCAAAAATGAAAATGAAATTATTTTGTTTTGGTTTGTTTTATTTTGAATAAAAAAAAACAAAATTTGATTGACGTAAAAATTCAATTTTTCTTTAATATTTGGGAATTCTTTTCTATAGATGAACGGCTGGCGAATTTTTCTTTCCTTTTTTTTTACTCATTTATCATTTCTTATTATTCCATAACGGGTCGATATGAATCGATAAAGAAAGAAACCAAGTGGAAATGAAATAAAATTCAAGCGACTATAGTCCGCAGAATCATTACTGAAACAGGTCCGCATTCTCTTTCTTTCTATCTATCTATCTATGTATCATTTTTTTTCATTTCGATTTCTTTTGTTTGGTCGATTCACGAACATCTTATTATTTGCAATCTGAACATTGAAAAGTGATGTGCACCCCAATAATAAGTGTTAATAATGATTATGATTGATATTCACACATTTATTTTGTTGGTGCAAACAAAAATTTAAATATAAAAAAAATTCTGATTTTAATGATGTTCATTTCTCTTTTTATTTTCTAACCCAATTACTGTAACACGAATCTTTATTCATTCATTCCGGTAATTTCTGTCAGTCCGACAGATCCGTTACTTTGTTGACATCCAATGATGATGATGATGAAATTCAAATTTTTTTTCAAATTGAATGAAATTCTTTCTTCCGGTAGTTTAGTACATGCTCAAATGAAATAATAGTGACAACTTTTTCCATTTGTTAAATTTATTCGGAAATCGATATGTCCAGCAAAAAAAAAGTTTTTCACATATTTTTTTTTTCGTTAACAAACAATTATCATGGCCAGAGAATCGGATTGTCAAAATAAAAAAAAATATATTTCATTTTTTTTCCTGTCACCTGTTTATCATCACCAACACCTTTCTCTTTTGTTTTGTTTTTTTTGTTAAAGAAAAACAATTTTAAAGACAACTTTTTTGTTTTTGAAAAAAATTCATCATCATCATCATGGTTAAATGAATACCGATGTTCGTCCATCAAAATCTAATAATGATGATGATCATTATAACAACAGCTATATTTCATCACACAACAAGATGAATTTTCGTTTTTTTTTTCTTGTTCTTTCTTCATCCGATTGAAAATCATTACATGTTTTTGTTTGTTTTTTTTTCGGTTATAGCATTTTGTTGTCATCATCATCGTCGTTGTCGTTTTTTTTTTGTAGCAAATAAATAAATATAGACAAAAATAGATATATGTTCTGTTATATTTTACCATGTTAAACATCTTCATCATCATCAACCAATCATACGGAACGTTTTTTTTTTTTTTTGGTTTTTGTTATTGATAAAGTTAATGTGTTGTTTTTTTTTTGATTCGAACATAAAAAACGATTAAAAAAGAAAAAACATTGAATACGTTTTTTTCTGATTGGGTATTATCCCATCATCGAAAAGAGTGTGACAAACATTTATTTTCATTTCAATCTTGTTTATTTGACAAAAAAGAACATTTTGTTTGTTTGTTTGTTTGTTTATTTTTCATTTGATTTAGGTGATTTGAAATTGAATTCAGTGGAAAAAAAAATTTAATGAAAATCTTCTTCTCTCGAATTTCACCTAGAATTTTTTATTTCCCCGACAAAAAAAAATTTAAATATTTCCTTTCTTTCTTTTTCGACAAAAAAAAATATTGAATTTCATCGAATCGAATCAAAGAAATTCATTTTATTTAAATATTTATATTTACGTAACCTGATATTTGGGAATATATTTTTTTTTTTCATTCGACTTTCGTTGAAAAAAATAAAAAATAAACAGTTATTATTGTAAAATAATATTCCCCCTTTTTTTCAATCGATCGATCGATCAATGTGTTTTTATCGATTGATCATTCGATTGATCAAATGATCAAATAATCATATAAATAAACATACATACATCAGAGAGATTGAATATTTAAATCGATATTGATCATCAAATCAATCAATCAATTAGTTGTTGTTATCATTGATTGATTGATTGATGGTGATCTTGAAAAATTGTTGTTTTTTTCTGTTAATTGAAATACAAAATTTGTCAATTTTTTTTCGTCATTATTATAATTTGTTAATGAGTTTCCGTTATCATTATTCGACTTTTCCCAACCGACCTATGCTTGTGTGTGGGTGGTTGGTTTGATTTAATTTTAATTTCAATTTTTTTCGGTGAAAATTCCGTAACTTTTTCTTTTTTTTTCTTCTTCTTCAAATCTTTCATTTTGCTGAAACTTTTAGGCATTATATTTATCACAATTTTCTTGTTCTATAAATTCAATCAATTCACCATCATCATCGTTTGTCACTAAATTTCTTTGAAAAAATATATTTTGTTTTTTGGTTGTAATTTGACATTGATTGTAACAATAATAAATCATCACTTTATTTACATTGGTTACAAATATTATTTTTCATTTATTATAAATTATTATTCTACAAAATTTCTTCATCATCATCATCATCAATTATCAAGAATTCATAAATAGTTTTTTTTTGGACATTCCTTGTATCATTTGATCGAAATAAGTTGTGATGTGAAGTGAAGTGAAGAGAAGAAAAAACAGTGTAAATTTTCATCGGAAAATAATAATAATAAGAAAATTGAAGAAAAAAAAAGATTGAGTAAATACATAAAGAAATAAAGAATTTCTGTCTGTGTAACAAAGCAGCCTTATAAATAAAAATATTATTATTATTATTATTATTAAAGAAATAAAGAATTTCCAAATCATCATCTTTATCAGAAAGAAAATCTACAGAAGAACCATTCAAAAATGGCAAAAATACCAAATGATTCATCGAGTAAGTTTATGATAATTTTGTTTCTGTTATTAATTATTAAAATTTGGGAAAAAAAATTATCAATTTTGATTAATTATCGTTTTATTAATGTTTTTTTATATAAATATTGTATTAAAAAAATAACGAAGATTTAATGTGTGAATCATGGTGGGATGGTATTTATCAATGGCCAGAATCAAAACCTAATACAACCGTACAGATACCATGTCATAAAATATTTGCATTAACAATGGGTAATATTGATGCTGATGATTATGATCGACAAACATTATATGCATTAAGACAATGTTTACCTAATGGCCAATGGGGTTGGAATAATTGGACAAATTATACTGATTGTTTAAATCTTTTGGCAATGCAGGAAAAAGATTCATCAACAACTTCACGTATACAAGGTGTTGTTAGTTATATAGCATTTTTATTATTAATAGCATCAATGGTTTCATTAATCATATCGATTGTAATATTTGTCAGTTTCAAGTAAGTTTTGATGTTCAAATAATATTGACATGTAAACATATCTTATGTCATATGTTTTTTCTTTTATCTTTTGTATGTTTGGATATTAAAAAAAAGACCATTGAAATGTTTACGTATCAAAGTACATAAGAATCTATGCATAGCATTATTGATGAATTGTTGTCTATATATTATAATGAATTTATTGGTTAATATACAAAAATTAGACATATCATCTAGTGTACCTTGGTTCTGTAAATTATTAAAAGCATTTAATATCTATTCATCGATGGCAACAATTAATTGGATGTTTGTTGAAGGTTTTTTATTCCATAAAACATTATTGGCACCATTCCATCAGAATACCCGCATATATTTATTTGGTTATTATTTTATTGGATGGATATTTCCGACAATTTGTGTTGTTGGTTGGGCATTATCGGTAGAATTTTTATCATCAGTACGAGAAAAACTTTGTTGGGAAGGTTTTGGTAATAGTAATACAATATTTATCGTTAGTGTACCGATGATTATTTGTGTTGCTGTTAATTTTTTATTTCTTATTAATATTATACGTATTTTATTGATGAAATTACGTGCTGATAATAAATCGGATATTGTCACAATGAAAGCTATTAAAGCTACTGCATTTTTAATTCCATTATTGGGTAAAGTTATTGTTGATTTTTTTTTTAAATCCAGGATACAGAATTCATTTTAATTCATTTTCTCAGGTATACATCATCTTGTCGTATTATATAATCCATCAACATTTAATCGTAAATTGGTTAGCATTTATATTGTTATCAATATTATGTTTCAATCGGTACAAGGTATTATCGTATCGGTACTATATTGTTTTACAAATCAAGAGGTAAATTATTATTATCAATGTTATTTTAGATTAAGACAAACCTTTTTTTTTGCTAAATAAAAACCAGGTACGAAGTGTTTTAAATGCCGCATGGTCAAGAAGACGTATGAGTTTGGCAAATCCATTAACAAGCGGTACAAATGTACTACCAGGTGGCGGTAATAATCAAAACAAACAACAACAACAACAAAATCGTTTACGACGTCAAAGTAATGGATCAAATTCAAATTCATCATTAATTATTAATAATATTAATCAACAACAACAACAACAACAACAACGATTTAATCAAGATAATAATAATCGTAATGAACTTCATTTGCCATCAGCTACAAGTTCACGTTCATCATCACCGATGCCAACGGGTAGATATTTCAACAATAACAACAACAACAACAACAAAAACATCAATAATAATCATCTAAAGCCACCAAAACAACAACATTCATCATCAAAACGTTCATCATCATCATTATCATCAACAATGATGATTAGATCGAATGAAATTGGTGGACAAATTATTATCGATGATGATAATATTGTTAAACATACTGATTTATAATTATATTTTTTTTTTCATTTGTTTATTTTGCAAAAAAAAAGAAAAGAAATCTTATAAATTTTTTGTTTTGTTTTGTTTTGTTTTTTTTTTCATTACGAATTTATCTTATTTTGTGTCTGTGTGTGTGTGTCTATGAAATCGTCATCATCATAAATAAATAAAAAACATTAAAACAGAAATTACATTTCAATTTTTTTCCAAAAAAAAAAAAAAAAAATTTAAAGCAATTAAAATCCGAAAAAGAGAATGAAGAAAGAGACAAAATAAAAAAGTTTTTTTTTCAATAATATAATTAGAATATGCACCGAAATTAATTTTGTTTTTTTTTTCAAACGAAATGAGAAACTTGCTTTTGACATCATCATCATCCGATTGCTGATGGGTAAAACTTGTCACATCTTACAATATATTGAAAAAAAAACTACATTAACAGATCATAATCAGGTTAAATTCCTTTCATATTTGAAAATCTGAAAAGAGAAACAGGATTCTCAACAAACAACAACAACAACGAAAAATTATCAAATGGTTTTTTTGCCCTCTCTATTTGCAGTGATTAGTAAATTTTTTTTTTTCAATCTTTTTTTTTTCGTTGCACAACAAAAAAAAAGAGATTTTCAACGAAATTGGATTGAAAACAAGCTTGAAGATAGATATAGCCTCGAATAAAATTTTCAACCGAAAAAAAAATATCCAACACACATGATAAAGAAGAAGAAGAAGCAAAGATGATGCCTTAAATAAAAATTCATTGATACAAAACATTGACTGATTGATTGAATGAATGACTGACTGACTGATTGACCTTGTAACACACGACATGACACGTCGTACATATTAACAAAACCAAAAAAACAAAAAAAAAAAATTCTGCTATTCGCCATAATGATGGCGTTCAAATATTGACATTTGTAATTGTGATTAAAATCAAATTAATCCTGTGTATTGAATCCTGTGTTTTTTATTTTATTTCACATTCTTATATAATTGCAGTGATATCGTGAATTATCTGAAATTTGTCATTTTCATTGCCATCTTTATTATCATTCATTGTTTTCGTTGTTGTTGTTGTTCTTGTTTTTTGTTGTTACTGTTATTGTTAATTAAAAGAGATTGAAAAAAAACCATGTTGGCCATTAATGATTATAAATTTTGGCTATTAATGTATCGTATATTTCCAAAAAATATTATCGATACAGTATTTACGATAATAACAGCCATACAACTTTATTTACTTGGTGCACGTTATGTTCTTAAAGAAATACATCGAAAATTATCATCAAAAGTAAGAAAATTATCCGCCAATGAACCAGATATACCAGATGATTTAACTGATTATGTTGCCGTTGTAACTGGTGGTTCACGTGGTATTGGTCTTTCAGCGGCTAAAGATTTATATCGTCGTGGTTGTATTGTAATTGTAACATCATCGGCATCAAGCCAAATGGAAAGAGATAAAATGGCTGAAGAAGCAAAAGAATCGGTAAAACCAACAAATAATAGTGGTAATATACTTGTATGGCCAATCGATTTTCGTGAAATGTCAAGCGTTTTTGATTTTGTTGCACGTTTTAATAAAGAATATGGTAGTCTTGATATTTTAATCAATAATGCTGGTGTTATGTTTGTGGATAAAAATTTTACATCCGATGGTTTTGAATATCATTATCAGATTAATTATTTAAGTCATGTATTACTTACATGGTTATTATTGCCTGCATTGAATAAAGCAGATAAAAAAGGACCAGCACGTGTTGTTAATGTATCATCATCAACACATTATCCACGTTGTGCATTTCTTGATGATCTACAATCACAAATAACACCATATTCAGCATTCCATGCATATGCACAATCTAAATTATGTCAAATTATGTTTACATATTATATGGCTAATTGGTTACGTAGTGATGTTGGCCAATCATATCGTGTATTGATTAATTGTTTACATCCAGGTGTTGCAATGACTGGTCTTTATCAATATGTTTGGTGGGTACGATTATTTCCTTGGCTAGCATCATTTCTATTTCGTGTATGTATTTTCTTTCTTTCTATCATTATCTCTCATATAAATAATTTCAATTTTTCACAATTTCCACTATAAAGACGGCTGATGAAGGTGCCGAAACGGTCATTTATTGTGCATTATCAACTGAAGTTGAATCCAGTGGCTATTATTATGAAGATTGTTCATCATTACGTTCATCAAAATTTTCAATGAATAAAATCTATCAGAATCGTTTGGCCGATTTAACTCGTAAACAATTGGCTAAACTTATTGAAAAATATAATCAAACATATCCCGAATATAAAGTACCACAGATATTGGCCTATTAATTACTTATTGATAATCACACTGAAAAACCATTCCAAAATTTTTATTATTATTATTCCATGACTAATGAAGTTGTTTCTTTTTAATTTTTAATTTTTTTATCATAAAAAACAAAAAAAAATACATTTCATTAAAAACAATTTTTTTTACATTACATTAATTGGAAATTGTTTGTTTTGCACATCCATTTTTATTCAGTTGAATCCAACACGTCGATCGATCAAAGCCAAAACTGTTGATGGTTTCAAACTATAAATGCCCAATGTTTGTAAATATAAACGAAATTCTTTTTCACTATCCACTTTATGTCGTGCTTGAATAATATGATATGTTTGTGGATTTAAATCGAATACGACTAGACAATCAGAAATTCTACGTTTGTATGTGTGAGAGAGAGAGATGTATAAAAGCATGACATTATTTTTGAAATAAATTAATTAATTCAAATAAAAACTTACGTTGAAAATGTAAATACAATGTTATGATCAGAATAAATGATAAAAATAGCTTTGAATGCATGTTCAAAATCATAACGAAGTTGTTTAATACCATCTTTGTTAAATTGTAATTCCATGATAAAATTTTCGAAAAAAGCCTCCTGCAATCGACCGGCAATTTCATATATCAAGCGATTAAACAAATTTTTCGAAATGTTTTTCTGAATCAAATGAATTTTGGTTGAAATATCATTGAATAAAGTTATGGCTTCATTGGTCACTTCGATTGGCTGATCTCCTTGCAATGACATTCCGTGCCATTTTAATTGTTTATACAAAGAAAGATGATTTATAAAGTCCGATACAATTAAATTGATTACACGATTAGATATCTCGTCAATCATATGAATGAACATTTCATTTACTCGATCCAAATCTGATTGAGGCAACATTTGTTTGGAAGCCAAATCCATCGACATTGAATGAATGAAATCAAAAGTGTTTAGAATACCAAAAAATTTTTCACTGAATGGCCATTTCTCTTGTAAATCATGTATTTTTTGCGACAAACGTAAACGAAAATCATCAATCATATTAATAATCAAATGCAAGTATTCGTTACGCAATTTATCCAATGGAATGTGTTTTGATCGTTCTAAGAATCAAGTTAAAAAAATTAAAAATAAAAATCAATGCTAAAAATAAATAATCATCTCATTCAATCAAACGAACCGATTTGACGATTGATTAGAGCAGCGAATCCATCAGCAGCTTCACAGATAATAAATTCATTTTCGAATGCTAAATCATGTTCATAAACAGAATTCCAAGAAGTTTCTGAATCCAGTATATTTTCAATACATTCATTAATGCCTGTTGTACGTGGAATGACGTCAATCAAAAACTTGTCCATTAATAAGATAAGAATTTTTTTTTGAACTTACGATTTCGTTCGATATTCAAAAAACGTTTATAGTTTTGTGTATCGGAAAAAATATCAAACAATGGGCTCAATTTTGGATGATTTTCGTATAAATCCGGTACAATTAAATTAAGTTGTTTACTAAAAATAATAAGTTCGTCGATTGTACGGCCAAAAATATGATCATTATCTTCCATACGTGGCAAATCTTGGCGTAATTTTTGTTCAATCAATTTCACAAAACATGAAATTAGTTCAACCTGTTGAACAATAAAAAAAACTGTTGAATGATCAACCAACAAGATTAAAATTTTGAAATAAATTACCGTAGCAAATTTTCCATTATCACTATCGAAAAAAAGAATCAATGTTTGATCGACCAAATCACGTAAGAAAGACTCATTTAATGTGATCCATTGTTCTAATGTACAAAGATACCATTCAGGCTAATGGAAATAAAAAGAAAATCTTAAAATAATTTGCTTTTAAATCATGAATGAATACTTACATGTTCTAAATCGTTCAATTTAGAACCAGAATCCATGAAATGATGATCGAATCGTTTAACAAATGGTTCGAACAATATATCGAATGGATGATAAATAATACGCTCTTCATTAATTGAAGTGAAAATTTCCGATTGAAATGTTTCGGAATCTATTTGCAAACGTTTCGAAAATCTACCACTTTCTAATTCTAATAATGATCGAAATGTTGAAACAAATAATAATTGATAATCGGTCAAATTTTTTGATATTTCGGGTCGTAATGCAACGTTAGTCTGTGGCCATCCAATATGATCGAATGTGTATTTTAATAAATCGGCTAACAATGGAACAATTTGATAAATATCTTTGATGAAAAATTCCTTAAACATTGTATACAATTTTGAAGATTTCAATACATCAATCTGTATTAAGACTTCCAAGTATTTGATAAGAGCAATAAAATCATAACGAACCGAAGTAACTTTTGAGTTGATCATTTCAATAGACAATTCTCGATACTGTTCTCGAAGTATACCGGTTTCTTGTTTCAATCGAGACATTCTTGTTTGAGCCATTTGCATTAATTGTGCAATTAATTTTGATCGTTCACTGAGCATTATATTAGCCAATGGTCGATCAATATCGGATGTATCCTTAGTATCAATATCTTTTTCATAATCACTAACAGATTCTTTAGCTTCGGCAATTTTTGCTTTGAATTTGTCGATAATTTCTTTAAATTCTTCCATATCTGGATCAAAATTTTCACATTGATTGAACAATTTTTGACGAATATTGTTTAAACAATCTTTTTGCATTTCAAATACTTTTATCTCATTCATTATTGCCGATTGATTGGAATTTTCCATCATTTTTTTCCCGGTCGATAATAAATCAAAACAAATCGAAATTGTTTGCTCACGTGGAGAAATATTTCCAGATAGAAAAAAATGGAAAAAAAACTTGCCGGTAATTTTTTTTTTAAATTGCAAAAAATTTATTTTTCAAAAAACAAAAATTGAAATTCGGTTTTTATTTCATATTTACAATTTAATTTAATTTAATTTAATTTTGTTTTTTTTTGTCTCTTTTAATCAATCAATTAATATGGATTATTATTATTATTATTAGCCATAAAAATAAACATTAAGAGAACGTTCATGTTTTTGTGTGTTATTTGTTTTTGAAATTACTTTTTTTTTCATCAATCAACGAATTATTGGCATATGTTGATGATTATTGTCAATATTGAATCGAAAAAATGCACGATTAATTGCTGTAATATCATTGGCAGAAAATTCTAAATCTTTTTGTTGTTCATTTTGTTGTTGTTGTTGTTGTTGTTGTTGATAGGCAATAATTTCATCAAGATTATTATTATTAAAATGATTCATGGCACGATTTGTACGTTCAAATATTGAATATCTTTTCATAAGATCATCAAATATAGCTGAATTTGAATAATATGCATCATGAAAATCTTGTATAAAATGATTAATATCATTTCCATTATTCGATAATAATAGACGTGGTTCGACCATTTTGATTATTGATTGTTGTTGTTGTTGTTGATCATTATTATTATTAGTGCTTGTTTCATCCAATGATGGTTTTATCGTTGTTGTCGTTTCGATTTCCATATTATTGATTGTTGTCGATTGTAATGATTGTTGTTCATCCATTGATCGACTATTGATTATTGTTTCATCATTGATTGGAATGCCGGTTGTTGTTGATGTTGTTGTTGGTTGCCAATATTTTCCACCAAAAACCTGTAATAATTGTTTCATTCGTATCATGTGTTCATTGTTATCATCATCATCATTGAATTGATCATCACTATCATCCATCCGTGTTATTGTCATATTGATTATTGGTTCAATGATTTTTATTATCATTTCTGGTACATTTTCTTGAAAAACTTCATCCATTGTTGTTGTTGTTGTTCTGGTTGTTTCAATCGGATTATTTGTTGTAGCCATACGATCCACATTCTCTGTTGTTTTACCATTCCCACCATCATCATCATCATCATCATAAAGTTTAAAATGATAAATATTTTGATTATCAAAATCATCATTATTATTCATAGTCATAGTCGAAATAGTCGTACTATCATTTTGTTCAATAATTTCATTATTGGCAATTATTGTTGTAGGCATCATTGATTCGATTGTTATTTTTTGCTTATCATCATCATCATCATTGAATACGATTTGTGGATGTGATTTTTCGGTCATATAATTATCAGCAGTAGTCATATCCATCGGCATTATTGTTGTTGTTGTTGTTGTTTCGAGATTTTCCGCTTGTCGATAATTATTGTAGATAATTAAATTATCATCATCTACATTGTTAGATATAAAAAATGGTTTTGCTGTTGTTGTTGTTGTTGATTGTGGCCACAATGGTATCATTGTTGTTTCGAAATCTTTTCCTATTTTGATCGATTCCGGTTGTTTAATATCCATTGTCGATGTTGTTGTTGTTGTTGCCGTTGTTAAATCTGGTACCATCGATGATGATGATGACGATGATGATGAAAAAGTGGAAATATTTTTCGGAAAAATTGATTGTAATATCTGTAGATATTTTGACATGTTCATATGATTTGTACTTAAATTTGGATCATTCATACTACTGTTATTTACTAAGTTAGTTGAAAGAGAAAGGCAGAAAAATTTAAATTACAAAATTAAGATTATATGAACAAAAAACAAAGCAAAAATAAACTTACATGGTGACCAATAATACCAGCTTAATGGATTAATTATCGTTGGAAATGATAATGCCTGAATTGAACGATTTTGATCACTTATAATCATAATAATAATGATAACCGAAATGATATCGGATGTTGATAGTGGAAATTTTTTCGAAAACATCATCATTTTTCGTGCTTTCTTCAATGCTTTTCAATATTTTTCAATGGTCAAAATCACAATTCAATTTCAACTGAAATTAAGATTTTTGTTTTTTTTTGGCTAAAGTTGATTTTGATTTTGAAATGTTGGAATATCAAAACAAAACTGGGCCAAAGTAATTTACAAAAAAAAACCCTGTAAATCGTTGGGTCTATATTGCTGAAATAGACGAAACAAACAAACAAACAAACTTATTGATGGAATAAACTAAAACTGAATGATGGTCCTAACAAATAAACAGACCAAAAAAAAAAAATTAAAAGAAAAACAACCGAAAATTTTTTTCAATCATTGAACAACGAAAACACACCGACCGTATACACACACACACACACTTGTTATACACCAACCTGAATATACCTGTTCGATCGACGATACCCACTATCGTCATTATCATCATCATCATCATCATCATCATTATCACTACCATGGTCAGAACTACAAACAAACAAAAAAAACTTTCCCTCAACACCCAAAATACAAGTGAAATTCTTTTTTTTTTTGCCTAGAAAAATTTGTTTCGCTTTTTGTTTCGGAATGTGATGATGATGAAGAATCTAGTCCAACCTAATCGATCGATCGATCGATAGATCGACCTGGCTTCAGTAACAACCTTTGATCAATGTAGCAGCAACAACAGACACTTGCACTTTTAATTATCTTTACATACACACACAAACATACATACCCCCTATATATATGACCAATTGATTGATGATAATGGTGGTGATAATGGTGATGATGATGACCATTAAAATATTATAGACCAAAATATTGATCAAAACAAAATAATAATAATAATTCACTTTTACTTTTAAAGGTATTCATTCACCTTACTGTCTGTCATGTTGCCAAAAAAAAACAAAACAAAAGTTATGACCATGGGTTTTTCTTTTCTCGGAAAAACAACTGAAATGATTGATTGATTGATTGATGGATTTGAAAGAAAAAAAAATTCAAAAAACACATTTCCATACATATAAGCTGACTGACGATATATTTCATATCGATCAGCAGCAACAACAACAACAAAAAAAATGAATGAATTTTAAAATAAAATAAATAACAGAGATTGGCCGGTTTTTTCCACCATTTTTTTTTTTGGAGAAAAAAAGATGGCTTTTCATTTTCCCCATCATTTAAAACAGTCGCGCAAGCTTTTCTCCGCATCATCATCATCAATTCTCAATTGGCCAAGTTTCTCTTCATTCAAACTGAATGAAAAATCGTCGGGATTTTTTTGATTTATTTATTTACTGATTTTCATTTGTTGTTGTTGAATTTGGCTAGATATTTTTTTCTTTCATTTATGTCCCACATTCGTTCTATATAATCTTTGGGTCATAATTTTCAGTTTTCATTTTCATTTTCGGTTACGAAAAGATGATCGAATCACGATTTTCATCCATTATTCAATTTTTCTTTTTCTTTTTCTTTTCTGAATTCTAGATCTATAAATTTTATTTTATTATTGGTTTAGACAACAAAAGTGGCCAAAAGAAACAACAAACAAAAAAATAAATCTAGCTCAAAGCATCCATTTTTTTTTCTTCTTTTCATCGATTTTTTTTTGACCACAATTGCAAACAATAAGCAAATCTTTGTTATAATCATCATCATTTTGGCCACAGAAAAAAAACTTTCACTTGTTGAACAATTCTTTGAACAATATAAAAAAAATCATTGATGTTTTCCTTACTGTTCAAAGATTCATCATTACTGTAAACTAAATTCAAAACAAAAAAAAATCTAGATTTTCAGCTCAAAAAAACTGTTATTTTTGTATTGATAAATATTTTTAAAGGTCAAAATTATATAAAATAAATCAAAATATCTAGGTTTCAAAAGTTTAAAATAATTTATTTTTGGTTAAACATCAGTTTTTTTAGATTACATTTATTCATATTTCAGATAGTTTATCTTTTTTCTTTTTTTTGGGTAAAAATAGAGAGAAATAAAGATTTTTTTGAAAGAAAAATATGTCAAATGAATCTAGTTTTTTTATTTTAATTCAATTACGTCCACGTGGATTCAATGATGGTATTGTAGAATTTTGATTCCTTAAAAATCTTGAACTAAGATTATTATTTATAGAACCATTATTACCACTATTATAACGACGTCTTGATGGTGATGGTGTTGTTGTTGTTGTTGTCGTCGATGATGGTTGTAATCGACCAGTTAATTGTCGATTATTTGATTGTAAAGATGATGATTGTTGTTGTTGTTGTTGTCCTAATAATCGATTACGAGCTTTTTGAATATTATCAATTGGACGTTGTGTTGTTTGTTGTTGTTGTTGTTGTTTATTTCTTGCCGATATTGGTGGTACTGTTACTGAACGTTGTCGTTGATTTGCTAAATTTCTTGATGGTGATGGTGTTGTTATTTGTACTTTTATTAATGGTGGTGTACTTTTAATAAATGAAGGCAATGTTGGTTTAGGTTTTATTAATTGTTTTGGTTGTAAACGACGATCATCATAACGGCCATTACGACCAATACCACCACGTGATGGAAATAAACGTGCAAAACGTTCATCACTAAATTTTGTTTTTGAAAAATTTTCTAATTCAATATCAGATTCAAATGATTTACCATCATCTATATCACCAATATCATCATTATTATTATTATTATTATTATTATTTGGACTAGCCTCGATACTAAAATTTTCATTAGTTATTTTTGAATGGCCACCATTAATATTGGATGGAGAATTATTATCATATACACCAGTATCATAATCTTCAAATGTTGTCGATGATGATGATGATGATGGTTGATTTTTTTGCAATGCAATCACAATCGTAATCAACAATAATTGTTGTATGATAAACCAATTGATGAAAAACATTGATAATAATGATGATGATGATTTCTGTTCAAAATCGAATATTATAATTATAAAAAAAATTTAATTAAATTAATCAAATTAATCAAATTACCATTGTAGAAAAAATGCGTTTGGATATCTTTTTTTTCAGCAACAAAAACGAAACTGAATGGAAAATAAATTATCACCGTTGTTTTGTGTTTCTGGATCAAATTTTCCGAATGATTTGAACAATCTTTTTTTTTGGGCACAGACAAAAAACAAATCCAGACAAAAGGGCAAGGCTCAAAAATGTAAATAAATGAAATGTTTTTTCTCGTTGATGTTGATGTTGTTGTTTGTTGATGGATCCAAAAATGGATCACGACCTATGATAATAATAATAACAATAACACAACATATTTGTTGTTGTTGTTTTTTTTTTGGATTGTTGTTGAATTATTTACTGAAATTTTTTTATAATTTCCATATTGGTTTTCAGGATGAATTCAGTTCAATTTTTTTCAAATCGGACAGCAGCAGCAGCAACAGAAACACAGATTGAATAAAGAATTTCAAAATTGGATTCAACGATAAGTAAAAAAAAATCGATGCTATCAATGTTATGATTGTTCACATTTGTTTGTTTTGTTTTGTTTTTGTTTCAAAGACGGAACTTTGAATCATTCAGACTATCAATATAGCCTGAAGTAACGTTTATGAATGGTAAGAAAAATTTGTTTGTGATCGTGTTCATCATCATCATCATAATCATCATCATCATCTTCTTCGTAAGGGAAAACCATTCATAATCATCATCATAGATTCAAGTAAAAGAGCCCAGGCAAACAAACAAAAAAAAGAGATGTGTCCGTAAAATATGTATGGTGGTGGTTGAAATCAAGGGGGAAAAGGAAAAATAGAAAGATAGATTTCGCCCAAAAGCAAGTAAGTGAAAAAAAAAGTTGCTTACTGACTTGTTTTTTTTTTGCCAATTTTTTCTTCTTTCAGCAGAAAAAACAAGAAAAATCAGGATTTTTTGTTCTGCTTTTTTGAATATAAAATATATTCAAATTAGTTTGTTTATCATCATCATCATCAACATTCTCTTTGAATAAAATAATTATCTTTGATAATCGTGATCATCATCTTTGAACGAATTTTAAACGAAAAAAAAAACTAAACTAAAGTAAAACAAGAAACTTTTTTTCAAGCAAAAAAAAATTATTCAATTGAAGAATTGTTCTGTTGAAAATAAAGAAAGAGAGAAAGAAAGGCAATGAGAAAAGAAAAGGCATTTTTTTTGACCTACTGACCTTTTAAGGCCTAATATTATTTATTAGACCTTTATTTTTCTATGGAAAAAAAAGATTTTTGTGCATATACCATTTATAGATGTATAATTTATCAAATATTTTCTTTAAAAATTATAATTATTTTTTTTTTAAAAACAAGAATATTTTTTTTTATTTCAAACAAAATTATTGTCAACACAATTATTGTATATTTTGTATTTATAAAAGTAAAATGTTCATGACAATGGCCCAATTTATTTTTTATTATATATAATTATCATTCGGGTTATTTAAAATAATAATAAAATCTCAAATAATGATGATGATTCATTCATTTTTTGATGTTTCAGTACTACTAATAGATGTTTTGGACAAATGATTATCACATTTAATAAAACGTTCTTTAATAGCACCAATAATTGTTGCCGGAAATGTTTGATATTTAATAATCATATCATCAATAGTTTTTTGACATATCCTTGCTAATTCTTCGGGACTATCAACTGAATCATAATGAATTGGTTTACCAATAAATGATGTTAATTTAACAGGAAATCCACCAAAAAATGGTACAACAGGTATACGTGTTAATTCATATAATGGTTTCAATAGAATTTGAAATATTCTTGGTATTATATAAATTTGACGAGAATTTTTCGTAAATATTGGTATGATATCAACTTTTGCTTCTTTAGCAACACGAGCAAAACCACAACGATTATTCCATAATGTTTCATATTGTGTTGTTGCAAATTGTGCTTCTCTAGTTCCACCTGGTGCAATAACAAGTAAATGTCCTTGTTTTAATGTTTCAATACATTTGGATGCTGGACCAGGAAAAATATAATCACGTATTAGATTACCAAATATGAATAGAAAACGATCACCAACAGCACGTGGAAAACGATGATATTTTTTATAGATTTTATTATAAACAAATATCATATCGGTTGGTAATATACCATGATAACAAATCATTAATGCTGCACAATTTGGATCATTTGGTATATTTTCAATGCCAACAATTTCGTACGAATGTGCCAGCCATGCGTACAGATCGATAAGATTTGAAATAAAATTAGCCAAACAATTGAATAAATATAATTGTTTAGTCAATAATGAATGGCGATATTTTTGCCATATTGTTTGTTTTTTATCATTATCATCATTATCATCATTATTAATCGATTTGATTCGTTCGGTCAATCGATCACTTGTTGCAATGAATATAACAAACAATGAATGTAATGCATTCGGTATGAATGTAAAAATAATCATGTATATTAACATCCAATATAATTGTTCAGATGAAATATATGAAAATGATATGATCAATATGAATATTGATGGTAATTTATATGCCTGAGCAATGATTGCTCGTTGGCTACAATCGATTGCCATTATCATTATTTGTTTTTTATATGATTTTTATTGAAATTAACACATAAAAAATTTAATTTTTTTGTTTATCAATTTTTTTTTTACAATTCAATTTGTTCTATCATTTGATTGATTGATTGATTTATTTATTGATAATGTTTCACAAAGTTCAAAGATTAACAACAACAACAACAACGAAATTGGTTTTTTCCTGAAAATTCTTTTTTTTAAAACAAAACCAAAATATTAGTTCCACACACGCACACACACACAAACACAAAACATTAACACATGATGCTAAAATAATAGATTTTATTTGGAAACAAACGGGAAAAAAATGAATTGCACACACACATAAACACCCGTCAACCACTATGAATCAATCGATTCCATTGATCAATAATAATGATGATGATCGAAACGAGATCAATGGTCTTGATAGATTTTTTTTTGTCTTTTATTTTCAATAATAATAATAATAATAATAATTGTTATTGAACCACAATGTAAGAAAATCAATCCATAAATAGTTGTTGTTGTTGTTGTTGTTTTTGTTGTTATTTCAAGGAAGGATGCATTTGTATCTACGAATACATCCATCCATCCATCCATCGATCAATGATCCATCTATCTATCTAAGCCATTTGATATTATTGCTATCATCATCATCATCATCAACATCAATGTTTCTTTGCCATTTTCAATCTTTTTTTTTAGTTTAGTTTTTTTTAGTTTAGCTAGTTAGTTAACTGTATTTTGTTTCATTCATTCATTCATTCATTGATGTTTAAATGTTCAATGTTCGTTTGTGTGTGTGTGTGTGTGGATCCTACCACCTGTAATCAAGCCAAAGTTAACAGCAAAAAACAAAAAAAAAATCCAACTAACTGGCTTGCTTGTGTATTCCGAAAAGCAATGTTGTTTGTCCTTCCAATAAACATGGTGAAATTTTTTTTTCATTCATTCATTCATTCATTTCCCTATCTGTTCGTGTAGATCCAAAATGGTGGTCAACATCAACATTATCATCATCATCATCGATTGATATCATTAAAGTAATAATGAGCAACAAGTTTTTTTCAGTACACTTTTTTTTCTTCTTCTTCTTCTTGTTGTTCATTGCGCCAATTTTTTTTCATCATCATCATCAGTATCATTTCAGTAAAAGTTGTAATTTATATTTCAAAATAAAAAAAAACATGGTCAAAAAAAAAATTGTTGATTAGTCAATCTCTTTCTTTTATTTCTCTTTCTTGTTTCTCAATTAATATTGTGTGTGTTGACCAATCTCAATCAAAATAATTTCATTTGTAATCGAAGGAAAAGAAAGAAGGGAGGAAGGGGAAAGTAAAAAAAAACGAACGAGTTTTTCTACTTCGTTTTGTTTCATATCGACCACTATTGAATGTTCCCAATTCATTACAATAATCATGATTTAAAAAATTATTGATTTTTGTTTTTTTCCTTTTTTTATTTCTTTAAAGATGATAAGATTATCTTTATGTTTGTTGAAATGAACCTAGTTTTTGTGTGTGTGCGTGTGTGTGTGACTTTCACTTTTCCTTCCGATAATGATGATGATGCAAAAAGGAAAAAAGGAAAAAAACTTGTTTCTTTTACTTCATCATTATCCATTATCATATATCGACGGTCATCATAAGCTTTATAATTTGACAATGGTGACTATTTTAACATAAATTATTATTAGTCATTATTCAAGTCAAGGAATATTGAAAGACAATGAAATATAAATGAATCATTTATAATTAAAACATTATAAATACAAAAAACATTGGAAATTGTACAACAAAGAATAGAATTTCTGATTGATATTTCTGGAATTTAACCTAAAACAAAATACAATTTTAAAAATAAACAATAAACAACAGCAACAACAAAAATGTACTTATATTGGATACATATCAATCAATATCAGGAGATTTAATATCATCAATATTTTGTTTGTTTTGTTGAATATTGATTGTATCATTATCAACAGCATTATTATTATTATTATCATTAAACGCCTATTTTACAAACACAAATAACATTGATTAATATTAATTGGAACAACAACAACAACAACAACGATAAAAAAAATGTCATAGACTTGTCAATAAAGTTTCGAGAATTTTCCATCATCCATACATACATCCCATCAATATCATTTTTGTTTTTTCAAACAGGATACATAACAACAACAACAACAACAACGAAATTTTCATTAATGAAAATATTTTTCGTTGCTGTTTTTGTTCTGATAGTAACCAGAATAAAAAAACAAAATCATTTCAATCATTCTAGAATGATTTAAATGGTGGCGAAAAATTTATATCGGTTTTGTTTATCTTTTTTTTTTTCTCCTTGGCTTCAATCCTGATTATCAAGGGTGGAGGTATTATTGTAAGTGTTGGCCAAAAAAAAACAAACAAACAAACAAACAAAAACATTTACATGAATATCCATACATCACATTTCGTACAAATGATGAATATAACTGATGATCATTAAACAAACAAACAAACAAAATCATTATCGATTATCGATCGATTTGGAAATGAATGAATGAATGAATGAATGAAAAAAAAGAAGCTGTAACTTGTTGAATATGTAATATTATAATATTGATCTTGTCTAGTTTTTTTTTATGTTTGCCATTTTTTTTGGTTATCATTAAACTTTCATTTTCATTTTTTAAAAAATATTTTATCTTTACTGGTTGTTATGGTCACATACAAACAAACAAACACAAACAAACATAATCATAATCAAAAAGACTCAACATCACCACCACCACCACCTACCTGCACCACTTATAAATCACATCTTTTCTTTTTTTCTTTTTTTTCTTCTATTCCTATATTTGTTTATTGTCACTCTTATTGTATTATCATCATTTTTGTTGTTGTTGTTGTTGTTGTTGTTTATGATGCTAGCTCATAGTTTCAATGATGATGATGATAATAATAATAATTTCAATTAATAATTTTTGCAAAACAAAAACAAAAATTACATTGAATTGATTGATCATCATCATCATTATTTTATTACAGTCATCCTTGTTTTTTTTTGTTTGTTGCTTCTGTAAAATTTTGTCAAACAAATTTAGGTTCAACTACCTACCCATCCATTATATTGAATTTATTTGAATTTTCTTTTTCTTTTTTTTTCAATCGTGTGCGCGTTGATATTTGTTGTTTATTGTCGAATAATATTGTAACAAAACAAAACAAAACAAAAAAAAAATGATGCAAAATTATCTAAATTTATTCAATCAATCATTAAGATTAACGATTGATAAATATCCACCAAATTTTATTCAATATAATGATTTTGATAATGGTTTAAAATTATTATTTAAATATAATGATAATTATCAACAACAGATGGCCTTGATAATAGTATTTGCTATTATTATGACCATTATTCGTAAACCATTATGGACAAATTTTATTCGGGTAATTTTTTTTTTTTTTTTTTTTTTTTGAAAATTTTTTTTCAATTTTTTTTTTTTTGTTTTTTTTTTTTTTTTTTTAAAATAATTAAATAA